TATATATATAATTATATATGATATAAATATATATATATACATATGTATACATATGTATATATGATATATATTATATGGGAGATTTCCCAGGCAGCCATGTTTGAGTACCTGAATGTAGTGGATAAGTCCTGTGAAAGTCTCACCCGCCACCTATGGCTCCAGGCAAGTGCCTTGCGACGATGCCATGCCGTGGAGGTCGGTTGCCATAAATGGGGGTATCCCAAAATGTTTTTTTGAAAATTCTACTAAACTTGATGATTTGGGGGATACCACCATTTTAGGAAACTTTAACTATTGGTACAACTAATTAATAGGGGATGGTCCTAGTAAGGGCAATGTTTAACTATGGTCCTTGTAACTTATCCTGTAACTCTGGTACAACTCTTGGATATAGCCGTAGTATAACCATAGTTTGATAGGGGCGGCCAATCCCAACTTGTGGGACTTATATCCATCAACAAGATCCATGGGACGTATAGCCGGTATAGCCATGGAATGGAACCGAAAAGACACGAGGATTTCACGATGAAAAGATTGGATGTTTCAATGTGATCATATGCATGAAAAAATGAGCTCTACCCATCAATCAACCGGGAGCTCACCATTTGAAAAACACTGAACATTATAGGCAAAATTGAGGCTTTAACCAGCAAACAGGGGAACTAAATGGGAATATCGCTAAAAACTTTGGATTTTTGGCTGATACATTGGCCAGTGTTCAAATTATGGGAAACCACTGGCACTGACGGGGAACATGTGGGGAACACGTGAACCTTTGCAGGGCCTGGATTTCACTGAATTCACACGAGGCTTTTGAGCAGTTTTCCATTGTTTTCCACCATGTGAGTTTGCTGGATGCTCTTGAAGTCGATTTGGTATCGCCAAACTGTCCAATTGACTTCCCGCCTTTGCAAACGCAGTGTGATTTGCATGCTGTGTGTTTTTCCTAATGTTCAACACTGTGCTATGTGGGATCTAGATGGGTATGTCTGAAATTGGGTGTGTTTTTTCAGGATGATCCAAAACGATTATTTTTCCTAGTGAAAAAACAAGTTACATCATGCTATGCAGAAGAACAACAATAATTGGCTTGATTTAACGGAATTCCACAGGAAAGCAGTCGTCGTTGTTGATGGTTAACAACCTTTTTGGCTGAGCAAACGCAACTTCCAACTTTTGCTGCTTGAAATCCGGTCTCACCTTAAAACACAATGATATATTAACCCCAGGAAACTATATCGGTTAAGATATCAATTCAATTGTATCACCATAGAATTACAAGTCTATCTATCCCGTGATATCCTCTTTTTGGAAACCGAAAAAGAATATTCAATGTGAACGATGAGTTGGCTCACCATATTTGTCGATTATTACTATGAATCTATGGGGAATTCCATTAATGGGGGTACCCAAAATGGATGGTTTATTTCATGGAAAATCCTATTTTTAAAATGGATGCTTTAGGGGTACCTCATTTTAGGAAACCTCCATATATGTAAATATATGTTGTCTAGGCTGTAGTAGTCCCGTTAGTGTTGCTGATGAAATAGACGATGCATTGTCCCACTGATAAAGCCCATTTAAACATTACATACCATTAGCTATCCCATCATTTTTCCCATTGGAGTATAATATAATCACCCCATTGAAATTCACTTAATATAGAAGTATTCCATTAGTATTGACAATCTATATATCATTGACATGATGTCTAAATCTAAAAAGCAACTTAGAAAAAATGATTCAACAAAGGGCATTTAAACCCATTAAAGCTCAGAAAAACATCCATACAATCTCCAGTAAAAATCAAGAAAGATCCATCAAAGATCCATCAAAGATCCATCAAAGATCCATTAAAGATCCATCAAAGATCCATGAAAGATCCATTAAATCTCCATTAAAAATCAACAAAGATCCATTAAAACCCACTAAATCCGTTCAAATCCAGGGAGTCCCTTGCAGTCACCATAAGCGCCAGGCCGAAGCGCAGCGTTTCTACGCGCTCTTGAGCCTCGGCGAGGCCGAGGGCTTGCGCGTCCCTTGGAAAAAACATGGAATGAGCATGGAAATCAGGTGTATATGGTTTAATTGAGACTATCTATAGTTAATTGGAATGATTACTACAATTACCTTTATTACGCCCAGTCATCTGGTAAATATGGTTATAATCCAATCCGATATGGGTAGAACTTCAACCATAGTGGTGATATATGTTGGACATACTAATTTGGATTGTAAAATGGTATGATGGCATAATAATGGGGATTATTAGTGGGATAATTACTGGTTGTTTTTGGTTTAATTAAGGGAACTGAAATCGAATAGGGTAGAGCCACAATCAAATTATATAGTTGGTTATAGAACAGCAATTACGGGATATATCCCCATATAATTTTTGGTTTAGAACATCAACGGTGGTGGTATACTGGGGATATGACTTTTCTGGGTAAATGATGGTGACCGGTGACCCGTGACGTCGTTTTCACTCACTGGGATCATGGGAATTGGGGTCAAATTTCAGGTGAATGAAAGATTATAGGGATGATTATAGGAGGATGATTGTAGCAATGTCATGATGATTATAGGTGGATGATTTCTCTCAATTTCAGGGAATTATACAAAATTACCCAGATATCTGAGAGAAATTGATCGGCACATTTAAGGGGAAGTGATCGACAAGAAATGGCTGGATTGAGCACATCTTGTCTCATAAGGGTTGAGATGGAGGACGTAGATTTCATACTTGCATTTGCAGAAAAAGGGAACAATTGAGACATGAATGGAAAATAAGCGGAAATTCGGAGATACTATGGGATACACCCAAGAAATGGTCTCCCATGTTATCAGATTGGCTGTTAAAGGCATCTATGGCTCAAACAGGGGGTATTCCCATGATTTTTGGTGATTGTAGCGCCATGGATACTGCTTAGTAGGGGTGATCATTCCACAAGCGACTTCTTAATTATCCATGTGCTATTGATGTGCGATTAAGGAATTGTTGGATTTCACCCACAATCTCAACCATGGCAATAAGATTCTTAACACCGCAATAGATTATATATGATCATACAATATTATGTACATAAGACATACGTATACCCAGTTATGTATATATGTACAGTCGTGATGTTCCCTGAAGTTTTTGAAGGAAGACATTGCAATCCAACCTGTAGTGGTGGGGTAGATCCATGGTTTCCTTTATCTTTCAACTCTCCGAAAAAAGATCTGACCATTGAGATGTAGGTCTTTAGCTATCTATTGTCAACACTGGATTAATAAACCCCTAAGCTGTTTCATTGGGAAGGTACAATTTAAGTATCAAATCCTGACTATTGGGGGAATACCACCCTAATTACTAACCCATGGTTGGCATTACTGGTAGATGATCTTCCCATTGCGGATGAGGCTTTGATGCACCGGCGGGACTTGTTGGTGGCCCTCAGATGGACGGAGCGGAGGGCGAGTTTGCAACGAGGATGGCAATCCAACCAGTTGATACCTCTGGTTTGGTGTCATACTGAAACACTTATTTATTGTTTTTTTTGTATCAAAAACATGTTAAATTGATATTTATAGGTTGTTTTTTTGGTATCACATGATTGATGTTAGTTATGTGAAACTGACTAAGTGATACAGGTTGTGTCTTACTAGTCGTTGTAATACTCTGTGAATCGAACAACCAAACATGACTGGAAGATCATTGACGATGACGCATGGGTGCCAGGGATGTATCAGGTGTTAGGCTTTAGGTAGACTGTCCTTCAGATGTTGGACATCAAAATTCACTGCCCAGATTTCTCAAGTGGTAACATAATGTGGGAGGATTCACCCAATGCCATAGACCCACCATCCAAACCATCCCCAATGAAGCTTTGTGAGCTATTGGGTATAGTATACAGTATACCCATATTTGGGATAAACTATATTGGGATAAACAGCTATTGGGGTATAGTATACTACGTAACTTGATTGGGTACAGTATGCCAACCCATATTTGGGATGTAAAATGAGCCCAACATGAATGGATGGCTTGGGATCGTTGATGGGATGGTCCCGCTGAACCCTGCTGGGAATCCCATGGGATTCGATAACAAAAATTGGATCACCGTAATGGGCACCGTAATAGGCAACATTTCCAGAATTGGATCATGAGAGAATTCAGACTTTTGTAAAAATGAAACATGATTACATAATGTTTTGTTTTGTTTGCTTGAACACCGTTTTCTCTCACAATGTCCACAAGTTTAAGAAACATGGCTTTGAAGGAAAGTTACAGTAACATTGTTACTCTTGGAAATTTTAATATATATATATTAACATATATATATATATATACATATCTATATTTGTATATATATATATATACATTACATAAATTGCCAATGTGTTTGTTATTATTTCTTCCCATTTTTCAAAATTATTTGGAGACCAAACAAAGGTGCTTGAACTTTTCGATTGGAAATTAAGACTAGCAGTGTTGGCTAGTTTTAAGCATTGGGATTTACACTACTTAATTTATGGTAAAGATCCAACGCGCATGGCTTGAAAAAGCTGGGATTTCTCGTCAGCTGTGGCCCAAAGACGGTCAAAAAAACTGCGAGTAGTCCACAAGTCAATCCATGATTTCATGGCAAATTGGGGAATGGGAGTCCGTTTGGAGCCAAAAATTTGATGCGCAATTGGATTACACAAAAAACATGAGAATAGCAATAGAATAGCGACTGCTTACAGGATCACAACTGATAAACCATAAAGTCAACTGTTGTTGTTTTGTTACCAATGGCCATTTTCCAGCAAATTCCTGGGTGGATAGGCCATAGACATGGTGCGAGATCTCAAGATATGCCTTTCCAGAAAGTTTGTTTTTAAGTCATAGATGTGTTTTGGTGTTTTGTTTGATATTAGTTCCGACGCCCCTTGTGTTTTTTGGCTTCATAAATGAGTCATCACTTCATCACACCTAGCAGATCTAGCTGTTGGAGTCACACCAGTCACAAGCCATAAACGAATGCTGGGCCGCCTGGGTCTCTGCCATGTGCTGCTGCTGGTTGAGACCTGGGGAGAACCGCGGCTGTTGGCCGATCTGGAGAAGGAGGACGGCCACTGGCATGTCGGATGGATAGTTTGTTTATTTTTGTGCTATACGATAAGTTGGGAAAATACTATATACATGTACATATATGATATATACTATATGATACGATGTATTAATATACATATGTATGTACATATATGTGCGTATACACACAAAATAGTTGTTAGTGTATCTAAAAATTGGCCACAGTCCATCAAAGGGAACGCCACTGACACAACGCTCGGCTCAAGTTCCACCTCAGGGGGCTGGCACCTCGCCTGGTGACACGCGAAACAGCTGATGTCCACCGATGCTGGCGGCTATGTGGAGCCAGAGCATGGCGATTTGATCGACATTTCCGTACAATGCCTGAATGGTGAAGGGTGCACATTGAAACTCAGTGGTTCCTGTACCGGTCTGGAAGTGTACCGGATGGTTTCAAATCGGCTTCCTGGGAAGAAAGGTGGAAAACCCACCCTCTATCACCTTGACTCACCGCTGATCTTGCACAAAGAATTGCAGGTGCAAGGCATTGTAGGCAAGGCTGCAAGACTTTCTTGCACTTATGTTCCAACAGATCTCTATGCTGCTTGGTGTGCAGTCCAAGAAATGCCAGTTTTTTTGGATTTTGAGCTAGAGCTTGTGCTGGAAGGGGTGACCCAGTTGGCAGGCACAACAACCACAAGGCCACACTGGAGCCAAACACACGTGACCCTCCCAAGCAGTCTTAAGAGCTTGACATTTGGTAGCAAATTTGATCAGTGCTTGCAAGGAGTGACCCTGCCAAGAAATCTTTAGACCTTGACATTCGGCAACGGCTTCAACCAGAGCCTTCAACTAGTGACGCTGCCAAGCAGTCTTCAGACCTTGAAATTTGGCAGCAAGTTTAACCAGAGCCTTGAAGAAGTGACCCTGCCAAGCAGTCTTCAGACCTTGAAATTTGGCAGCAAGTTTAACCAGAGCCTTGAAGAAGTGACCCTGCCAAGCAGTCTTCAGACCTTGAAATTTGGCAGCAAGTTTAACCAGAGCCTTGAAGAAGTGACCCTGCCAAGCAGTCTCCAGAGCTTGAAATTTGGTGACAGCTTTAATCAGAGCCTGGAACGAGTGACCCTGCCCAGAAGTATTCAGATCTTGACATTTGGGTCTGAGTTTAACCAGAGCCTGGAACGAATGACCCTGCCAAGCAGTCTTCAGAGCTTGACGTTCGGTGACAGCTTTAATCAGAGCCTGGAACGAGTGACCCTGCCCAGAAGTATTCAGATTTTGACATTTGGGTTTGAGTTTAACCAGAACCTTGAAGGAGTGACCCTGCCAAGCAGTCTCCAGAGCTTGACATTTGAGACAGCTTTAATCAGAGCCTGGAACGAGTGACCCTGCCCAGAAGTATTCAGATCTTGACATTTGGGTTTGAGTTTAACCAGAGCCTGGAACGAATGATCATTTGTTCCATGCTCGCCTTAAACTCAAACCCAAATGTCAAGATCTTTCAGGGCTTGACGTTCGGTGACGCTTTCAACCAGAGGCTGCAACTCGTGGCCCTGCCAAACAGTCTTCAGACTTTGACATTTGGCAGTAGCTTTAACCAGGACCTTGAAGGAGTGTCCCTCCCAAGCAGTCTTCAAACCTTGACGTTCAGCGACGGTTTTACTCAGAGCCTGCAACTCGTAACCCTGCCAAACAGTCTTCAGACCTTGAAATTTGGCTTTAGCTTTAACCAGAACCTTGAAGGAGTGACCCTGCCAAACAGTCTTCAGACCCTGACTTTTGGCTTTTGGTTCAATCAGAGCCTGGAACAAGTGACCCTCCCAAGCAGGCTTCAAAGCTTGACGTTCGGTGACGCTTTCAACCAGAGGCTGCAACTCGTGGCCCTGCCAAACAGTCTTCAGACTTTGACATTTGGCAGTAGCTTTAACCAGGACCTTGAAGGAGTGTCCCTCCCAAGCAGTCTTCAAACCTTGACGTTCAGCGACGGTTTTACTCAGAGCCTGCAACTCGTAACCCTGCCAAACAGTCTTCAGACCTTGAAATTTGGCTTTAGCTTTAACCAGAACCTTGAAGGAGTGACCCTGCCAAACAGTCTTCAGACCCTGACTTGTGGCTTTTGGTTCAATCAGAGCCTGGAACAAGTGACCCTCCCAAGCAGTCTTCAAAGCTTGACGTTTGGTGACGCTTTCAATCAGAGCCTGCAACTCATGCCCCTGCCAAGCAGTCTTCAGAGCTTTGACATTTGGAAGAGGTTTCAATCAAAACCTCAGAGAGTGATCCTGCCAAGCGGTCTGGAAAATCTTAAGTGTCATGGGATCTTTGTGAGCGCATGACTTGCTTGCAAAATAGCGCTGATTTGGATGTTCCCACGAGAAAGCCGGGGAAGAATGTGTCGGTAAGCTGGACTGGAGGACTTTGCCTCACCACTGAATCCAACGATATCCAAAGATCTTGGCAAATTCATATCGGCCGATATCCTGCGATGTCACTGTCAATGATAGCAATCGGATTGTTTGGGAACCATCTGAAGACGTCCTTTTTTTCAGCTTGGTGAAGTGTTTTCACAAAACTGAGATTTCGGAAGATGGGCAGATGGCGATGTTCAAAGATCAAGGTTTGCAGGAGGTTTGGTGTTACAGTACAATAACCGCTGGATTGAGAGCGGAACAACAACAACAACAACAACACCAGCAGCAGCAGCAGCAACAACAGCAGCAGCAGCAACAACAACCATCCAAATGGTGCTAGTGGGGGTCACATCCAACATCTAGCGGTCTGCCAACCGACAGTTGCAGCTTCAAAATGTCCATACTGTCGGAGCAGCAAACGGTCTCAATCGAATGATAATGTTGTTTGTCGACAATCTATAGTAATCAACCAACCTCTTCTCAGTGCAACCGTCAGAAACAGAGATCAACCTGACAATGATCATGAATAGATCAAATATGCATGTTAATAGTTATAATATGTTATAATCATCAGATAAACCAACCGCTATAATTTAATTATGTATGTATCTGTTTACACTATTGAGTTCCAGCATGGCTGTTGAACTTAGTAGATCGTAGTAGGTGGTTTTTACTGTTTGCAACTATTGCCCAGTTCGAACATGTTGATTTGGATCGTCATCCATGTCCATCAAAAGGCAGGGTGTCTTATGGGCATGTTTGGCTTATCCTTGGCGTTTGGTGTCTCCTTTTTGAATCTGATATGGTGATTGTTGCTTGATTTTTGGTGGCTACAAGGTTGCAAGTTGATCGGTAAAAAAACATGAAGTGTATATCACGACACACTATAGATGTAATATGTATCTAGCTTGTATTGTGGTTTCTCTCTTTGGACATTGCTGGTTGGTTTGCTGCCGACAAGACCGTTGCCGCGTTGCCACAAGTCGTTTTATCCTTTATTAATAAACATCCGCCATTTGAGAGGTTGGATATAAATGCAGAGCCAAACCATGGCATCTGTATTTTTTGATGTAGAAGTGATTGGAGAAATGGGGTGCACATTTTTTTCACAGATCCACATGCTTTGGTTGAACATGCTGAAATGTGGCTGGGCCGAAATGATATGAAATGATCAGATTTGTTTTCCGAAGATCCATTCGCGACTCTGTTTCTGATACCATGAAAACACAGTGGTTTTAACATTGCTTTGCTTAAACAAATAGGGAACCCCCCCTAAATCCATTGTCTGATCAGCATGTTTATCATTCACATGAGCATAAATTGAGTATCACCATTGTCAGACCCACATATATTTCGACTATGTGATCTTGTTTTCACCAAAAACTTTGGAAAAGAGGATACAAAGCAATAATAGACCAGCAGATGCCAGCGGTATGTTTGAGACATGCCGTACCTACAGATATAGCCCTGTGAAACCAGTTGTAAGTGGATATTTATTTCATGATATCTTACTAGTTCCAGGAAAGATTTCATCCCATGGCCATACCTGGCTGTAGGAGTTTGAGCCCAAGGATGGGCAACTGACCCTCGGCGTATGGGTGGTTGTCCCAATATGGGGGTTCATAAAATGGTGGATCCCCAGTCGTCACCTAACCTATCCCAAATGCTCCATGTATACTATATTGACCTGCATTTGGGTGATTTATGGGGCAAATGATGGGATTTTTATTCCAGCACCATGGTGAGCTAATATGGGTATACTAAGTCATGGTTTGGTCATCCATGACTTGGAGGATTCGGGGTGCCTGTTGAAAGTATTTCCATCGGACGATGATCCCAATCGGCTAGAATCTAGCGATACATGGGGAGTGCAACCACTTAAATGGGCAGTTAATCATCACACATGGGATTGACACCATACGCCATTCATGTTTTTTACGGGGTAGATTTTGGGTAGTTTTTTTTTTGGTCCTGCTATGGGTAAATCCAAGGTGAAATCTGGCCAGCATAGTCAGAAGCAAGAATTGGTTGTGATGTATGTGGTAGATCATGGTAGGTCATAAGAAAATAACCCAGTGTATTTGAATGATATCCAGCTATCCACATTTTGGTGCTTGCAAGTGTTGGTTTAGAGGACCCCGGTGTTTTGCAACTTGTTTCTGGCTTACTTGAAGCGTGACCTGTACTGAAGGAATTTGGGGTTCTCAAAAACATCGAAAAACAAGGTACAAGGTTGGACACCGCAGATAGCTTAGTTGGTTTATGACGGTTCATGGTAGATCTATCGAAGTAGCCAATGAGTTTTATAAACCAAAGAGAACTGGAGGGTCCCACCTTGTGATCCTTGCTAGTAAAAATAAATATATTATCGCAGCCCTAATCGTAACAATGCCGTTTGGGGGTTCCAAACATATCGAAAAACGAGGTAATGTGACAATGTCCTTTGGGGTGGTTCAAGTCGATTAAATCTGGGCAAAAAACTAACTCGGAAATGGATCAGACAGTGGAACTGCTTCAAAAAAGCTCGGTGCTTTGCCCTATTTATCCAAGACTATGCCATGATTTAAGGTTACCCTCTGGTAAACTAACTGTAGCTGAGGAAAATCACCATTTTTTAGTGGCTAAATCACCAGTTTTTAGCTGTCTAAATGGCCACATGGTTTTTTTTGGTTATGGTTGTTACAGGCATAGCGAAGAGCTCTCGGCGGATCAGGTGCTGGGAGCAGCTCAGCAGCGAGTGTTTGTCGGAGCTGCACAGCGGACGCTTCGAGGGCGCGCAGCAGCACCGGTACCTGGGCGGAGTCGAGTCGTCCGTTTCGATGATCCGGAGATCTCAGGGAAAACCATGGGAAAACATAGGAAAACCATCGGAAATCACCAGGAAAACCGTTGAATTCTGATGGAAATTGGTGGTTTGACAGAATTTCAGCCGGATTTAAGCAACAAAAGTGTGATTGATTGTGATCGATCTTTGTCCATCGAAATCACCCCAAGCTGACAGATGAGTTGGGTACATTCCCATAGTGCAGGAAGGTCCTCCCTGGACTGATGGTGGATATGGAATAATAGCTGGATGGGTCAAACTAAGCCAACTTACATACGTGCAAACCTCTTTTGGTCGGGAAATGCAAGGATCGGAAACCTGGAAAATATTGGAAAATAGTGGTTCAGCTGAATTGTTTTCTCATGGTTTTGTTATGATTTTTCACATGGTAGTTCAACTGGATGTGTGTTTGTTTTGTCAGGATTTTTTCATACTTATGTTTTAAACGGTGGTTTAACTGGCTTTGAATCTCACGTTTAATGGATTAATGGATTAATGCGGTTGGATCAAGTTGAATCCCCAAATTTATGTTAATCCCAGGTTTGAAAGTGCAATGTCACCTTTCAGGGATAATCAGGCCCCTGAATATTGTTGATAAAACCACGGTTGACTGTCGCTTAAATCCAATTTCTTGCTGTATCGCGATTGTTTAGTTTTGTTTGTTCCTGAATTCCCAATGTATTAGTGGAGTTTAGCTTAGCTCCTATTTTTGATCTTTAGGCACCCATTTATTGCAGCTACGTTCTCCAGACGTTTGCTTCTTTGCATCCAAAATGTCAATTTTCCTCATAAAATTCTTGATTTCTGGGTTCCTTCCCTATTTAAGTGGGTTTTTTTGGGATGTTTTTCTTGATGAATTTGGAAGAGAGGGTCTCAAAAGCATTGGTGTTTGCCCTATTCAAGTGGGTTTTTTGGGATGTTTTTCCCATTGGTTTCCCATGTGTTTCCCCATGAATCTTGCTTTCCCCGTGGCTTTCCATGGGTGAATCGTGGGCTTCCCCATGGCGAACGACCCAGGCAAGCAGAAGAAACGCGCGAAGGGGAACGTGCCAGGGAGGTGTGACCCTGAACACATCTGGACGTATCATGGGGTTGAAACATCACCAAACATGATATGGTTGAGCAATGTTGAGCAATCATCAGACTTAAAATCTTTTGAAGATATTGGATATGACCCGTCCACATATTGTCCTTTTTAGATCCAGAAAAATATGGTAAACCTGGCAAACCTCACTTGTAAGCCATCAAAATTTGACACCACTGTAATATACCTAAATCCTGTGAGCATCGTTGAGATGGATGAGATGGTGATCTATGACTCTATGAGTCTGCAAAGTGCAGTGATAGGAGAATCAAAGATGGTTTTTGTTTGGCTCTGAGTGACGCCTTGGACTGGTAGTTGGTTTCGATTTGCAAACTTCAGGTCCGAGGTCAGAGCTAAATCACTTTAAATTGTTCGCAGGTCAGTTTCATGCCAAAAAAGGTCCAAGATACCACTTTTTAGACCCCTACAGAAAACAAAAACAAACAGGCATATCACAAGGTAAATCCTTAAAGCCTTAAATCCTAGAAAAATCCAAGGTAAATCCTAGGAAAACCCCATGGTAAATCCCTAGGTAAATCCTACAAAACCCCAGGTAAATCCTACAAAATCTTAGGATTCCCAGATCTTCCCCGCACCGATTCACCGACCCGAAGGCTTCGCCCCTTGCGGAGGATTCCCGGGGGCGGCAGCACTACCGGCTGCTGGTGCTGATCACCACGGTCTGGCGCAACTTCCAACGGCGACAGTGGCGTGGCACTGCGGGAATGTGGACCGTGTGGATGGAAAAAGTTGGTGATTTTGATCATGGGATGATATAGTGGTGAAAAATGTGATGGTTAATAGTGGTTAATAGGCTATAAACAAACAACAGGAATATGGTGATTTGAATGATTTTAGAAATTCAGGGAGTTTACGTAATGTCAAACCCGGATAAATTAAAACCATGGTTTATTAATTAGGGGGGCACTCCTCCAATAGTCATGTCATAAAATACTTTTTAAGGTACCCTGCCAATTAAACAGCCGTTTGGGGTTTATTAATCCAGGGTTGACATTAGATTTGAAGGCAATTCAAAGTGATTTTGAATTAGATGTTGAATGGTGCCATAAGTGGGACAAGGATTTAACCAGCACAAATGGACATTTTGCCAGCAGAAATGGAGATATATGATGATATATGGAGATTTCAACAACAATTGGAATCTGTTGATTTGTGATGGGGTTGGTTTATTTCACAAAACGCTTCACTGTGGTTTATGGATGTTGTGGATATTGAGTGGCACCACGTGTTGGGGTCATCCCAATTGTGTACGAAAAGGAAGACATGTCTTCGAGCTGATCACCAAGTATAAGATGGGGGGTTCCCAGCCATGGGAATACCCCCAAATCATCCACTGGTTGGTGGTGACTGGAACATGACTGGATGACATGACTTTCCCATCATATTGGGAATGGAATAGTCATCCCAACTGACTCATATTTTTCAAGATGGTTGAAACCACCAACCAGTCCATGTTCATAGGGTTGTCCTTTACAAAGCCATTTAGGTGTACCCATGATCTCCGCCCGGCTATCCCTTCTGGATCGGCATCGTGAAACGATGAGCACGTCTGACGACAAACTGAAACCGACAAAAATTGTGTTTGTGTATGTCTAAAAAGTAGTGTTATATATGTTTCTACAAGTTTAGATTAATTTACTGATATTATGTATTATATCAAACTATATGATATGATATAATTATGTATGTTTACATACATGGTACATGGTAGTGCGTTCAATGCTTCCTCCGTTGGCTCCGTTGTTTTTCCAGGTTGCTGCGCAACGCACTGATTTGGTGCCGTCGTGGCACTGCACCGACAGGCGTGGGTGGTCATTTTTACAACCCCTGCAAGGTGGTTTATAAAGATATTGGGATACCACCAAAAAGGTCTATGTAAGGGATATGTATTGGAATGGAATATAAAATTTTGGGGTAAGCATAAGATCTTATAAGCCAAACAAACACAACTGGGGTATAGTAGCTATAGCATGATTACATCTATACTTAATGGGACAATCATAAGCCACCAAACATACCTGGGGGGCACCAGCTTAAGTGTAAAACCCCATCATTTCACTCCGTCACTTCGCTGCTTCCCAGGAGGCTTGGTCACCTGGCGTTTTCTCCTGGGTGACGCGCCGGCGCGCTTGAGGCATTTGGCGGTGGCCGAAGCTGAATCTCGGCCAAGGACTTTGAAGGGCTTTGCCATTCAGAATCATTCAATTTTTTCTATTCCGTAAAAATCACAGAGATTCTGAATCATTCTTAAGGGGTTTAAACCAAAAAAACATTGTCACGGAAAGTCATTACCGCAGCTTACGTGCCAAATCCATGGAATCACAAGGTTAGTTTGGGGAAATGTTCCCTGAAACAAAGTCTGGGATGGAAGGGGATGAAACCAAGGCGTACGTGCTATACCCCAAATCCGGCCCAAACCATACGTAGCGACGTAGCAACAGCACAGCAATATATGTTTGGCTTCAGCAAACATGGCGGTGCAACCACAACCAAGAAGTTCTTTTTCAGTCGTCACCTACCTGTGATCGGATTCTGACAGGTGAGCATGCAGAGAAGCCACCAGAAACAGAAATCAACGGGAACTCATCGCCTGTGATTTTTGGATTCAAGCCCCACACCTTCGGAGTCCTTCGGTTTCCTTTGTATGTGTTTTCTTGGTCAGGCGCTGGTTTCAATACCATTCAGATATGTGACCTCATCATGGGGATTTTGATGGGTTCTGTGTTTTTTTGATAACAATTACCCTCTGGTTATTTAACATAGCCATGGAAAATCACAATTTTTAATAGGTAAACCGGTAAACCATCTATTTCTATGGGCCATCTATTCCATGGCAATGTTAAATAACCAGAGGGTAACTATTATGTAATACCTTGTTCTTTAGATATCCGTATAGACATATGGGTTCCATAAATGGATAATCATGGAACAACCTTGGAAAAATATTGATGATTTGGGGGCACCCATTTCAGGAACACCACGATGATGTGCAGCTGTTGGGTGGTCCTGATGAGACCCTTGGTGGAGATGATGCGCACCGTCCATATGGGGATACCCTCTGGTAAACTAACATAACTATGGAAAATCACCATTTATAGTGGATTTTCCCATGAAAAATGGTGATTTTCCATAGTTATGTTAGTTTGCCAGAGGGTATGAAATTACCAATGACTGGGGGAATAAACATCCATTAGCAGCTTCAAATGTGAAATTACCAAAAATGACTGGGGGGAAAAAGATCCAGCTATACCAGCTATGGCAATTATGACTGGGGGCACCAAGGGTGGGGTTTTGACCCTGGTGCCAGTTGAACGCAGTTGAGGACGTTTTTGACCCGAAAAGGAGGTGATATTACCTGGGTTATTGGCGATTATAGCCATAATGTGGTTAAAACAATGTCATAAACCTCCCATGACTGGGAATGGTAAACATACCACCTATTTATGATGATTTGGGGGATGGTTTATGATTGTTTTACCCACATTAATAGGGATAACTATTAAGCAACCAGTATAATTGGATAGAGGTGTATTTTTTCATGGCTTATATGGGGGAAGAAAGACATGCTATTGATGGCTTAAGCATTCCAATATTATTCAGAGCTATTGATATCTAACGTGATTTTCCAGTTATCAATGGTTCTTCAGCAAAACAAATGCTGTTGAGATGTTTAATGAATATATGATTGTAATTAATGGAAAACAATTATCAATTCATGTAGATTCTAAGAATAATTTGTGTTCCGGTCATAACCTATGGCTATTTATTTTTTCAGTGGTTATTGAATAACCCTGAAAAATTGAGGGTACAAGCATAAAACGTTGAGATTCTAAAAGGCAACGAGATATGACATGAGTTACTCTACGTATACAATTATATAGTTAAATGGTTGTAATAAACGAGCGCTATTTCGTTTTGTTTTTTTTTCCCTTGGCTAGTTTTGGCGACTTCACAACGAAGTCACAGCAAAGGATTGTCGGCACGGGAAATCATTGTACAGATTGTTTGTTTTTGATAAGAGTTTCGTTGTTTGCCAGACCTAGCGATTGCTTTTGTATAGCAACACTTATTCATAATCCAGTCATACAAAGGGGTATAGTATTATAGTGAGTGGTTTTTTCATGAAGTCCTAGCCATCGTCAAGTATTATGATCATGGGCTTCTAAGTATTGTTTGGTGTGTTCGGTTGTTATACAGCAAGAAGAAACTTGAGAGTGTACTCAGTACAATTATCAATTATCAGACGCGCGGATTTCAAGCGCAAATGTGGGTACTGTGGGGTGTATGAACCGTGTTCTGACCTTATCAAGTGGGGAAAATTGCAAACAATTCTGATAAAGTTGACAAACTAGACCAGTGATATATTTCAATTTGAGCTCCCCTAGATAATTAGCTAAGTTGACTTCTAACTTGGTTAACTAGGTCTTGTGGAGGATATAATCATAGTATTCTTGTGGTTTTAACCCAACAAACATAACTTGGGGGCCTCACCTCGTACATTCACCTTAGTCGGTTTTGTTGGTCACCATCGGATCCCAGAAATGACAACAGTTCAGTTGGTTCACTGTGTTGCTTGTCAGGTTAGCCTATAACTATATATATATGCATGTATATACATCTATATACAATCCTATTATAGATGCTATGATGCTGATGTTTTTGTTCATGTTTTTTCTCTTTAATATCTTGACTTGTTGTTTTTTCATTTGCATTTTTTGTAAAAAACATAGCTCATGGGTATATGTTGCTACCTCTGCAAGACGCTCTGTGCACCCCCCATTACTCCGCGCTGGATCCCTAAGGATCGATTACAGACATGTGGGCGATGCGTACAGTCTGGGGCGCTCAGGGTTTGGTCGTGGGAAAAGAAGGTGATTCAAGAAGCGATTTATGTGGTTTAACGTCTTTGTTTCTTGGTTTTAGGCAAAATCAAATTTCAAAATCAATTTGGTGATTTTTTTGAAAGTTGATGTCTTAAATAGTTTCTTGTGAATCACCATTATTGTGTATGTTGATTGGTGAAACTTGGTGATTTTTCCAAAGCAACCACGGTGGCATTCGGTGGTGGTGATATTTTTTAGTTCACCCGTGGTGACCCGTACAGCTCCTTGAAGGGTGAAACCAGCGAAATGGTAGAGATCACCATTTGAAAAAGTTCGGTAGATCATCATGGGCCATGGAAAATCACCATGATGAGCTATTTGCTGAAGCTATGGGAAGCCATTGATTTAACATAGCGATGGAAAATCACCATGATTCACATAAATCATCTACAGATGGGCCATAGCTTCCCTAACTGTTAAATAACGAGAGGGTAAGTACTTTGAGATCCCCGATGCTTACCCCTGGCTGAGAACCTGAGGGTCCAGCCCAAAAAATAGCCAGGGGGTACCTTGGATAATCTTGGATATCTTCCACCGCATTTTTATCCCAGTAGCTGTTTCTTATATGTTGGGGTTGTATCGGAATTTTATTCGCCGGATACCTTTACTATCAAATATAAAAGTTCTACATGCTCTTGACTCTCAGTCCCACGGAATTTTAGCCCGGAGGGATTTTGGTACATGAAACAGTTCAAACAGGGATTTTGGACGTTCTGTTTGGATGGCATTGTGCGCGATAGGTTTCCAAATCCACAGGGGTAATGCTAGCCACGTTTTGGGACTGAGCCGGAACTGCACTCTTCCGTGCATATGTTGTCGTGGCCCCATTGACAGAAAAAACATCAGCAGCCAAGGATTGCAACTGAATGAGATCCATACTATATATCTTATATGTCTTTGAAATCTTTGACTTGCTGTGATTCTTTGTCTTGTTTTGTTGATCAAGATCTCACTGCATACCTTGGACCCTGGAATTTTATCCCGATTCATCCTGATTCTTTAGATTCCTTAGACTCCAGAGGGGAATGAACCAGTTGATGGTGGGTGCAATCCTGCATCCCTTGGAGCTCCATTCAACAACCTTGGACCCTGGGATTTCAACCCTTTGCATCTGTCGATGCAAACCCAGATTTGTTTCTTCAATCACTTCCACAAAGCAACACAAAAATATATAATTATATATATATATATAAATATGTTAGATTCAATTTGTCAGTAAATTCCGCTATCACTGATACATATGTAGGATACATCGTTGACATTGTTGTATTTGTTTCATGCATTTACATCCCGATAATTGGATATGAAAAAAAAGGCCTTCCCGTCTCAGACTCATGGATTTTATCTGGGGTATGTTTTTCCAAAATTAACACTGATGTCTCAAAAATTGTCCGAAATTGTTTCCAAATAGGAACCAAATCAATAAACATCATCACCCAACTATACCTGTCAGACCTGGGGAATTTATTCTTTCTACATTTTCTACATTTTTCATCCATCTCAAATCTGTCAACCAAAAAAATCTCAGGCCCATGGAATTTGATTCAACTGCTATTTTCAGAAATCTCAAATCTTTGGAATTTTAACCCACGGACTGGCTGGCGGATCATAACTTGCAAAGACTTCACATTTTTCTAAAATTGACTCGGCCGAATAGACCTCAAACCCTTGGATTTTATCTGCCTGATATCTCTCTACAAACCAAGGGGGGTGGTATAAATTTTTGGGTTTGAGCCCAAATTTCAGCCTATGCAGGACCTCCTGCCGAAATTTTATCCAGCCTTGTTTTTGGGGTAGGTTCGGAGTTTTAGCTGGCTAAAATCGGGACATGAGACTAAAAGGCACAAGCAACGGGGATCTTTGAGATCGCAAACCATGGAATTCACCGAGCAACGTTGGCTCTTTTGGGGCCCATTGAGGTGGTTCAGACACAGGCATGTAGTCTTGCTTTCTTCAAAAGAAAACAACTGGACTGGCCTGTATGTTTCTTCCCTGCAGTTAGGGTTGTGACATGTTGTGACTAGATTTTTTGATGTGAAACTCATGTACGAACGACCTTGGAGATCATGCCAAGGAAAATCTGATGGAAAGTATCGTCGTATGTCCTATGTATCCCCAATATTTCTTGATGAAATCCCACTGAGCCCAAAATGAAGTGTCATAAAATCCTGTAAAATCCTATAACATCCTATAAAAAATCATCATTTTTCTTGGTGACATCCTCCTTTGAAACACCTGTTTTTTTCCTGGCAGATCTACGGGAGCCCAATCCGGAGCTGTTGAAGTTGATCGTGAGCTGCTGGGAGATCTCTGGGGTGTTTTTGGAGTTTGAGCACCGTAATCCAGGTTTTACCCTCAGGTGAACTAACATAATTAGCTAGTATAGATGGGGGCTACCCTAATGGGTTGATGATAAGTTCGGGGATTATACTAGCCTTGATTTATTGGGGATTATAAGAATCCAAGAACGGGGCATCCCTTTTTGACCAACCAGTAGAATGGAAAATGTAGGATGGCCATAGTCATGGGGATACCCCGGTCGCTCGCTGGATGGTTTATATATTTCATGGTAAATCCCAATCTAAAATGGATGATAACTGGGGGTACCATCATTTTTTTAGGAAACCTGCAGATGGCCCATGCATAGTTGATTTAGCTATGAAGATGGTGATGTTCCAGGTCGCAAACTGTAAACGTTTACCAGAGGGTAGTCATAATCCAGAGATATCATGGAGATCTTTTGGATGTATGGCGTCAAAGTATGTAAAAGTGGGATTTCATGGGATTTAATCAACCCAAAGTCATAATTCAAAAAATGGTCAAAATCGCAGTGCTCTCTGGTAGTTTACATAGGCATATAAAATGATTGTACACATTTTGGATGATTTACCAAGAAACTACATGGTCATTTTCCATGGCGATAATCCAACCATGGTATGGCCGAAATTCCATGGGGCATCAACAAAGCCACGAGCAAGATCTTCACACCATGTTAAATCACAGTATTTAAGGTGGTTCATCAACACACCATGGGATTTTTTAGGGCGTATCCGGCGTATCCCATGTAAGTCATGGTGTTTTCTTTCGTGAGGGTCAACATTGGTAGGTTGACGCGTTGTGGTCATCCCACTGACCTTTTTTCTCATAGTTGAACATTCCCAAAGTTATTTCTACTACTCTCATTTACTATCATTTAATTATAGTTCCCAATATTCCCGTAATTAGTTTTTCCCATTCTTGTTTGCCAAGAACAATTCGGGTCAATATTCCCGTATCATTTTATACATCCCTAATAACTCCCCGAGTTATTGCCATATAATAGTTACGTCCAAAGTTATTCCCATGAATCTTCTCATACTGTGGATGGTTGCGAAATCCTGTACCACCAAACGGATGCTTGAAACCCTATAGATAATGGGATGAACTTAATAAACCACCTATCAACTGATGATTCGGATTTTGCAAGCATCCACAGTATGACCTCATGTACGTGATATATAACCTTAGTGGAGCTATTATCGCATTTTATCACTGATAAGCCAAAGCTGTGGGGAAATAGAAGACTATTAGATATGTTAGCTACTCCCAAAAACTATCTATATGAATTTCCATTTTACATATATCCCATATCCCTATGATTTTATATATCATATATATATATATATGTATATTATATATCCATATAGCCATTACATATTAGTTGCATTTTCCAAATGATTCCCATAGAATCTTCTGAGTCTATGGTGAAATTTTGAGGCTTCCGCCGGCTGCGTGCCGAGCTGACCTTCGACTACGTCTTAGCTGCTGGGCTTCGAAAATCACCTAATTTAGGTTGCAGAACAATGGCCATGGCTATTAGTTATAACTGGTTATAACTAAATCGCTACACTTATGGCCATTTATTAGTTATAACTGGTTGTTTCTATGGGATTCATTCCATAAATGGGGTGACTTCTTCGTACTTCCAACTGGTATAACTCGGGCCATAAACTCTGGGAGTTCATAACTCGGGTCATGTTGTGAAAGACCACTGGGGATCCACAGATTGGGGTACTCAATGACTTGACCTATACATATGTGTAAAACAGTCATAGGGGAGAAATGACTTATTGGTCCAATTAAATAGTCATATTTACTGGACCAATAAGTAACTAATATTGGCTTAATATTGGAATATAATACTATCCTGGTTGGTGGTTTCAAACATGACTTTTATGTTCCATTTCATATATGGGATGTCATCCTTCCCATTGACGAACTCATATTTTTCAATATGGTTATTGCACCACCAACCAGTTGAAAATGGATAACAAGTTGGGATTCATTCATTGAAAAATGTTTGATTTTCTCAGGATTGCTCCAATCCAGCGTGATAGCCCACACTTGGGGGGCAAACTCGTCATCTTTGATCTCTTTATCCACCCAATTCCCCCCCTTGTATCTGGGCTGGCGGGAGCAAACCTGTTTCTGGGTAAATCATAACGCGCATTTCTGGTTGGTGGTTTGGAACATGACTTTTATTTTTGGTCAATAGTGATGGTTAATAGTGGTTAATAGGCTAGGCTATAAACCAACAATGGGAATATGATGGTGATCTGGTGGTTTGGAACATGACTGGATTATGACTTTCCATTCAGTTGGGAATGTCATCATCCCAACTGACGAACTCATATTTTTCAGAGGGGTAGGTCAACCACCAACCAGTTTTTGTTCAGGGGTAACTATCCCAAACTAGCCGAACTTTTCAGGTTAATGAAATATGATCATTTACCCAGATGATTTCACAATGCAAAGATGGGATTGATTCATTGAAGATTCGGATTTACTGTAAGCCACATAAGAAAACAGGGGACTTCATACGGGTTTTGACCATGAAATATTGGGATTGAACCATTGAAAGTTGGAATTATGGAAACAACGGGGAATTTGTCATAGCACAAGTTCCCTTTGTCGGAAACATTCGTGAGTTTTCAACTACTGTAAACCCTTCGCTTTTCAATTGTGCAGCATGGGCACAAGAGATTGGAAGAGCAAATCTTTGAATCTAAAGTAAACATGGAGCGCTTCATGGTGTTTCATAGCGCCATGAATCAAAAGTGATGTTCACTGCAGTGGATGCAAAGGGACTTTTGAGGAATCCATAGCAATCCTTTTTTTTTGGATACAAATAAATAGAAACAGAAATATAACACATAGCTTCCCATAAATGGGAGGATTCCAAATTGCTATATCATGATATGGTGGATATGTTTTTCATATTTTTCCCTTGAAACAAACCTCGACCCCAGTGGTATGCTTGGCCCATGGCGTTTGGCAGTACATGGCGAATCACGGCAATACAAACAAAATTTGCGCAGGAATCCATGATTGGTACATATTGGTACGTTGCTGATTGATATTTCCTATATATATATATATTTATATTACACACGACATTTATATAATACTATATATATATGTATATATATGTTAAATATTTATATATTGAAATATTTATCATATCTATATATACATGTGTGTGTGTTTGATCACCATTTTATCACATGTTTCTCACTGAAACTGCCATCTTGCCTTTTTAGCTTTGAAGGTGGCCGACGATGACAGTTTCGTGAGCGTGTCGAACGCCCTTGACCTCACGTGTCTGGTTGGAACATGTGTTCTGATTGGTGGGGGCCAAAACCAGAATCGAAAAATGGTGGTTTACTCATCAAAAAATGGAGATATAATGGGATTTCATGGGATTTTTCATGGGGATTGGTGGTTGAACAACAACCTCTGGTGATTTAACGGCCGGCCGGTTTGTGAACTGAAAAAAATCACCATTTCTTCGGTAAATCATCATGTTCATCTACAAACGGGCCATGGTTTCCATTTTTTTAGCTGTTAGTTCAAACCCAGCCGGGGATGTGGAAAGGGCAACGGAATGACCCGGCACAGGAACCGACCCTGGCAGGTTGGGTTCGATGAGTGAGTTTCCACTAACGAAAAAGGTGATTTTTAGGGTCAAACTGTTAATTTACCAGAGGGTATCCCGGTTAATATCCCATTCAATCCCAATTTTATAGTTGATATCCTCACATCCGTTCAAAACCGTTCGCGTGCTTGGCGTCACAATACGTGTTTCTTCTTGCTTGTTGGAACGCCGGGACAACATCTTGGCACCAAGGTTTCAGGGCTACGAGGCATTCAACGGTGTAGCAGAGTGCGCTAGACTTGTCAAAAAGGTGTGTCGAGAAATGGTGATGATTAATTAGTAAGGTAAAGGGAATCATCCCCAAATCGCCTAACCTGAAAATTGCAATTTTCAGGTTAGTGAATTAGTATACTTCAGCCACATATCAAGATGATTCTTCTCCCCATGGTTTTGGTTGTCAATGACCTCATATACCCATCATTTCCTCAGAGCAGTAGTAACACCCCAGTCCTTGCTGTCGCTCCGAGGAAACACCCATGCCTTTTGCAATTTTCTATGAGGATAAACAAAGGTAGCGCCGCCCGTAAAGACGCTTCCAAGGAACGTTAACATCACCCCACCCCCCCCCGCCCAGACAACCCACAAAAAGTATGAACGCAGTAAAAAACGTTAAAAAAAAAAACACGTCTCTACGGGCGGCGCTAGCATAAACAAATAGGAAAAATGCCAAACAAAGAGGATAAATCATGATAAACCTACCATATTGGCTAGCATGGTTACAATGGATAAAATGGATAAACATTGCAAACACATTACCTTTTTTTCATTATGGCACATAAACAAAAATAGTTCAGACAAAGTCATGCTCCCAGCATATTCCCCACATATTCCCCACATTTCCCAAAGGCATATGCTGCCTAAAGAGAAAGTCTACGTGGGCAACATGATCGACACCATTCCGCAGCGCTGGCATGAGGGTCGAGGTATCGTGCAGGCCGGCAGGAAAGGCGATGTTGGGAGAATATGGTGAAGATGATTGGGAATCTGAATAGTTCTATATCATGGATATCTTAATCCAATAGGGTATCTCAATAGATACCCAATATCAATTGCGGGATAATATGCTGAACAAAATTATATAATTGTTTATTGGTTATGTTAATCCAATAGGATATTAGACATTTATCTAATCCAATAGATTATATTAATCCAATTGATGATTGGGTATCTTAATCCAATTGATGAGGACCTAAAAATATGTCAAAAGTGGTGATTTAACCAATATTTGATGACAGTACTATGGGTACTATGGTGATATATAACGGGATAGCTGGGCAACAATACAGTATGGTATAGCAAAACTGGCTTGCTATCCATAGGGCCCAGTAGATATGTGGGTAAAGCCACTTCCATTCCATGTGCCAACAATCTCTTGTGTCATGTGTTGATGAGTAAATTGGCAGATTTGTTTATTTAAAAAACAACAAAACCCACTATGAATGGAGATGTTTTTCCCAAGGGGATCTATTCCAAAGCTTTCCAGCAAGCCATCTGGTAATCAGCTCCATGGCTTGCTGGAACATCCGGCAATGGGGTAGTTGAGTTTTTCCACTCAAGCCTCCATTGATAGGATTTTCTAACACATTTTCCAGCCCAGGTTTGATTACCAGGGGGGTTTCATGCATGGGTTCATGCTGTTTCTATGTGAGTGGCATTTCCAGTTGCCAATGGAGGTGTCAATCTACAGTTATGGCCCGAAATACCAGTTATAAGGCTGTGAAAACACATTTATGGAATGATAACCTGATTTATAACCATTCATATATTATCAGTTAAAGTTCTTTAACTGTATGATGTTTTTGCGTTTCCCGAATTCCAATCTTTATTCATTTGTTTTTGTCATCTACACCCATGAAGACTCAGACAGCTTTCTCATTTCCACGAGCTTGGGGCGTCCATTTACCAACAGAGATGGATCAAACCTGACAACAAGATACAACAAGTGGATGTTCATGTCGTGGAAAATCCTGAATTTGGTGGACATGTTTTGGGATTATAGGTGATATATCTACAGTTAATGGGATTATAAACAAACATACTGTAACTTTTTTGGGGCACCACCTTGCATGTTTTGGGATCAGTTGAATAGTCGTTGTTTCCTTAGACATGTGGTCCCCAATGAGGCACCCATTGATCCAATGCCTATTGCGTAGAATTGGCCTCATTTTTGTTCAGCATATTTGTTGGGCATGTCGTGGACCTGAAAAGAAGTTGGGAATATAATGGTACTATTAATATGGCATATTAATTGGATATGATTGGCTGGCTGGTGGTTTCAACCTGATGGAAATTGACTACTGACCCTGAGTCTGGGAAGATGTGAGCTGGGTCATTTTGGATTCTGATGCTTGGAATATTCTTCTGATATATACGATATATTCCACCAATATCCACAGACTATTTCTGAGTTGCTGATGCTTAAGCATGGTTGGGTTGGCACAGATCTTGAAAGCATCCTGAACCACTGAGGAAATAGTTATGGTATGGAACTCCCCTTTAGTTAATGAAAACTACGTTACTGCAATGACCTTTTCAGGGATCCTTTTCTGTGGGTCTTGGACAATCTGCCAAATCCAAGCTGAATTGATGGAGTGCCTTCGCATTCCTTCTGGCGTGAATTTCCTTTGATGCACCTGCTGAAGAAGCTCCCAGGTCCCACATCACAGCGTCGGCCTCGCACGTATTTGCACCCAGTCTGCACCTGCAGCTGACAGTGGCCTTGTGCCGCCTTGGGAAGCGTGCAGCACTGGCAACCTGGTGCTCCGCACCAAGGTCTGATTGCAGAATTTACTGGCTTTGCGGGCACTAACGTGCAACGGCATCCTTCCTTTCCAAACAGTGGTTCAATGATGTTCAATTTACAGTGGCGGCAGCCCCCTCGGAGGATACGGGGATACATGTCTAGGTGTCATATATCTGTAGCATCCATGTACGTGAAATTGTACCTAGCCTTACCATATCTTCATCTGTACCCCGAAAGTCATCAAACAAATCCAACATTTGGCTGGTTGGTGGTTTCAAATATGACCTTTTTTTTCCATTTCATATATGGGATGTCATCCCAACCCCATTGACGAAGTCCATCATTTTTCAAGATCGTGAAATTGCACCACCAAGCAGTTGGACATTTCCCATCCTGGAAGAGGATGGGGATCTTCATTCCTCCCCAGTGGATGAGGCTCGACACACATGGCCCCATGAACTATCCATTTTTACCAATGGTGGGGCACCACAAGAAGATTGGGCACCACGGCGCCACGGTTCAAGTTATGGCAAACGAATGTAAATGATATACCCAACCGCAACCTCTATGTTTCCATTTGGGAACAAGAAAGCTGAATTTTGTCAAATTGATGGCACCTACGATGTTGTAAACAGCATTTATGTCAATGTTCCCTGTAATAAAGATACCCGTTTTAACCATTGCTTTCCTAACAATGGCCAATACACTGAGATGGTAACTTAGGGTACGCCAATTTTCCGACCCCAAATTTGTTCCCGCAACGTTCCCTCCCTTTAAAAACCTGGTTGATATTTTGTTCACCAATCTGGTCTTTACATGGTTTTCCGAACCAAAAGCAGCAAACGTCAGTTCTCCTCCCAGATTTCCTTTTTGCCCAACGCCAAACCAGCGACACTTTCAGCGCCGACGCAGGAATATTCGGTGAATCTCTATTTGGGTTCTCCTTCCAAGGTCCCCATCTTTGCGCATGGCATGGGTGCCTTGGACGGTGTGACCCTGCGGTAGGTATGGCCATTTTAGGAGGGAAAAGTGGTGGGGATTTGGGTGGCCCGGCCTATTCTTAGGCAACACAGATGTTGGTTGAGTTTTTGAAGTCAGGTCAAGTTTAGAGATGGTGCGTTCTTGGGAAACAACTAGAGGTGGGACACCCCAACAGCACTGGGGATATCCTGTTCAAGGTCGTGCCAGAGTTGTGTTTGTTGGTTCAGGTTGACACCATTGGCAGATATGGGGAGGGGTCGTTTGTTCCCTTATGATTTTACCTGGGGGAATCATCAGCTATACCAGCCATTTCAGAGTACAGGTAGGGTCCTGGGGTTTTGAATCATAGCCAAATATTCCATATTCACCTCCTGAAATAAACAACCGAATCATTGGGTTCTAAGAAATCTGACGACCAGTTTGTCCCGGTCCGGTGGCTCACCCCCGCGCCGGTTCATTTCCTGCTTGAAGTCGGATTCAAATATGAAGATACAAGGTGGTGCCCCCTAGATAGCTAAGTTGGTTTATAAGTCCAACAACTAGGGTTTATGGGGGTTATATCTATAGTTAATGGGGATTATAAACCAACTTATAACTATGGGGCACCACCTTGTATGGAGATGGGTCAAAGCCTATTGTACTATACTGTACCATATTTTGGGTGGATGAACATCCATAAACACCACCTGTACACCTATTTTGGTGTTCATCAGGGTACAGGGTTTTGACTCGTAGCCATATCACATTTTTTGCAGGTCATATTCCAAGAATTTCTGACGTGTTCATCTCGATAGTTTAACTTGTTTGTTGGTGAAAGAATGGGTCCACAGCTAGTACTGTTGGTGTTATATCACTATTAACCATCATTAACCTCCATATTGTTGTTATACCAGTAGTACCGCACAAGGCGGTGGCGGAAGTTTCAAAAATGGAAAACCTATAGGAGAGGTGAGTTGGTGTGACGCAAAAATGGCAGAGCGAACCCACTGATGGATTGAAAGGTGGTTGAGTGTTTCTGCCTTTCTGTCTCTCTTTCTCTCTTTCTCTATGTGTCTCTCTTTCGCCATCTATCTACAGAGCTACCTTTCTAGCCATCTACCTATCTACCTGTCTATTCATGTATCTATCGATCGATTTGTTTATTCACCTAACTATTAAACTGTCCATCTTTCTGTCTATCCAGCCATTCATCCATCCACTTACTTCTCTCTGTTAGTTTTTTTTCCCGTCCATCTCTTCATCGATCCATGTCCACTATATCCATCACCATATTCTTCGTTCTGCTTCTCTATCGATTCATCCATGCATCTGTCCGTCTACCTCTTCTTCCAGCCATCCATCTATCTATCTAGCTACCCATGCGTTTATCTGGTCATCGACGCTTCTAGCGATCTTTCGATTTAGCGATCTATGTGTCCATCTGTCGATCCATCTACTTGTCTATTGATCGATCTGTCTCTCTATCTAGCCACCCATCTTTCGATTTAATTATCTCTCGATGTATTCATGGGTCTTGAACAAGTACAACCTACCTACATTTCTGATACTCCACAATGTAACCCCTCTCAGGAAATCAGCGCCCTGATCTCCCAACCTCTCTCATGAACATATGTTTTGTCCTGCGCCTGCCACGGAAAATGCGTCTTTGCAGATCATCTGCACATGTCCCATGCCTGCCATCTTTTGTCGAAATGCTGCAAAACCCTCATGTTTTGCGCACTTTTGACAAGATCCACAATCTTGTGCGCCTTCCACGCGAAACGACATCTGAGCCTCCAAAAGTGGTCCGAACCCCTAGTGTTTTTAACATTTTGACTTCGAAATGTGCTTCGCGCCACAACGGCGTGCACTTTTTCGACATCTGATTTTCCAAAAGTGGTCCGAACCCCCTAGTGTTTTTAACATTTGACTTCGAAACTTCGAAATGTGCTTCGCGCCACAACGGCGTGCACTTTTTCGACATCTCAAATGCCAAAAGTGGTCCGAACCCCTAGTGCTTTTAACATTTTGACTTCGAAATGTGCTTCGCGCCACAACGGCGTACACTTTTTCGACATCTCAACTTCCAAAAGTGGTCCGAGAATGGTGTGTTTTGTACATTTTGACTTTGAAATGTGCTTCGCGCCACAACGGCGTGCACTTTTTGAACATCTCAACTTCCAAAAGTGGTCCAAGAATGGTGTGTTTTGTACATTTTGACTTCGAAATGTGCTTCGCGCCACAACGGCGTACACTTTTTCGATATCGCAACTTCCAAAAGTGGTCCGACCCCCTGGTGTTTTTAACATTTTGACTTCCAAATTTGCTTCGCGCCACAACGGCGTGCACTTTTTCGACATCGCAACTTCCAAAAGTGCTCCGGCGCTGAGGTGTTTTGTACATTTTGACTTGGAAATGTGCTTCGCGCCACAACGGCGTGCACTTTTTCATCTCTCATCTGGCCAGCTGGCTCCGCACCCGCCGCTTTAGCGAGCCTACTTTTTGATCCTCCGAGCCCCAAATCATTGGAAAAACACAGTGTTTCGCGACTTTCCTACCTTTTCGCACATCTGCATCTTCTTTCTTCTGACTCTTTCTTTTCTCTGATCTTCTCTCTTCTAATCTTTCTTCTCTCTGCCTCTGCCCTGCTCTGCTTTTCATCTGTCCATATTGTCGGAAGTTTGACTTCTAAACTTCCTTCGATCGATCACTATGAACCATCATTAACCTCCATATTGTAATTGTATCACTATTAACCATCACTAACCTCCATACAGTAATAAATTTGTAATAGAATACCAGGTTTTTTGGAGGATGAACATCCACAAGCAGCAGTTCTTTTAGGCTGGAGAATTTCCCCTGGTTCACCTTGGGGATAGCCAGCATGTACATCATCCGGGAGATTAATAATGATGGCTAATAGTGGTTTCATAAGCTATAAACCAACAGTTAATACGTTATAAACCAACAACAATAGTAGTTTTCCTAGGCTATGAACCAACAACAATGGGAATATGATGGTGATCTGGTGGTTTGGAACATGACTGGACTATGACTTCCCCATTCAGTTGGGAATGTCATCATCCCAACTGACTCATATTTTTGAGAGGGGTTGTTGTACTACCAACCAGCAATAATCCCATCACCCTAATGTAATACTGTGGGTAGAAGAAATCCGAAGCACCAGTTGGTAAAGATCGGCAACTATGAAACACGGTAAGGAATGGTTTATTTTCGGGATTTTGACCATTTACCAACTGGTGCTTCGGATTTCGCAACCATCCACAATATGAACCACATTATATGAGTAACCAAATTCGCGGAAGACTGAAGTAGAAGGACTGGACTTGGGATGTTCAAATTTGTTTTCAAAACCTTTCCGAAGGGGGACCGGCCACTTTGGCCATGTCCGCTCATATGGAGGTTTCCTCAAATGGGGGTACCCCCGAATCATCCATTTTAAATCATGTTAATAGGAATTTCCTTGAAATAAACGATCTATTTTGGGGATCCCTCATTTATGGAAACCACATATCTGATCATCGGTAATAAGAATCGACCAATGTTTTTTTGATTATTACCAGCCCGTAGTATATAATTTACCAAGGGTAATTTGCATAGTATAATCCCCTATAATTAATCATCAACAATTTCAGGAAACCTCCATGTTTGTGTTATATCACTATTAACCATTATTAACCTTCATTGATTGTTGTGAAATATCACTATTAAACCCATATCCAATATTAACCATATGCTGGTGAAATATCACTCTTCAACCCACTATTGATCAAAACCTCCATTATTAACCCATAGATTACCCATTAATATAGGTTAACTATTAATTACTGTTGTTGTATCACTGTATATCACTATTAACATAGGTATACCATTTTTCCAAGGGGTTGAAACCACCAACCAGATATTGTTGTTATATCACTAACAGTAACTAACTAACATAGGTTACCTATTGTTGTTATATCACTAACATAGATCACCCCCTAATCCATAGGTTGGTCAAGCCATTTCTGCGGAACCCCCCGAGGTTTCGTCCTCTCCGCCGATCTGGCGGAGATGTTGGCCGAGCTGGGCTTCTCCTTGAAGCTGCGCGGCAACGATGTGGCCCGGCAATGCGGTTCGATGGTGATGGGTATGTAATTCCTATATCCATTTGGCATAATATGATGAAAAAACCTGATGATGTTTGGTATTTTATAATGTATGCGAAATAATGGGTATATTCCTATATGCGAAATCATAAAACTGGGATTCTGAAGGTATTTTCTACGTGATATATCCATGTAATTTGATTTGAACATGGACAACATGGATATGAATATCAAAGGGGGGTAGCGGGATATACTAAATTGCCTCTAAAAGCAAACCTGTCCTACTAGCCGCGTAACAATAAAGAAAAAAGTAGAGTAAAGTATTGGATCGGTGAAAATGTTGGTTTCCACAGAAATGGTTGATGATTCGTTGTTAACGAATGGGACTCCATTTTTCCCGGGGTTCAACAGGAGACTTTGGTCGAGTTTCAAATCAATGTGCTTGCTTGATCAACAATCAATGCTGGCGACCAGTTGCTTTCAACTTCGGCTCAATTCCCTATTCCTCAATTCCCTTTTTTTTCTGATACCCAGTTCAAAAATAAGAAAACATAAACATACTATATAATCAGACACTGGACCTCTTTGGCTGGAAAAGGTTGTTGGTATCTTTGGTACCGGGTCACCATCCGATGTTTTCGCATTAAAAAACATATATTACATAAGATGTAGTTCTGAACTTATTCTGTGTTCAACTTGTTTATATTAATTATTGTCTTTAGTAATTCATACTATATACTTGCCACAATATGCCTTTTACTATCACAACACCATATGGTTATGGATCTACAGGTATCAGATCACCATGACCTCGCTGTAAAATGTGTGCCCCAGGACATGCTCTTTGGGATCTGGCTTCGGTACCTTAGCAGCCTTAGCGTCAGAGTCGTTCACTGGGCAAGCGTTGTGGTCCAATTTTTTGGTGGTCAATTGATGGGGGTTTTCGAAAATGTGGGTTCCCCAAGTCACCATGGGTTAACCTATACTAAGTCATGGTCATCCATGACGACTGGATGATTTGGGGTAGCCCTATGACTCAGGAAACCTCCAATTCATGGTGATCGATTGTGATTATATCATGATGATTAGTGAACTTTAACCAGCAATAATCCCATCCCCCGTTCATATTAAACACCCCCTCGATGAATATGTGTCAATCCCCTATGAAAAACCATGGTTTCTCGGGGTGATTTTAATGTTGGGTGGGAATACATCTGGTGGATTCGCATCGAAACGGGGAGAACTCCATCAACAAACCACGATTTTGTTTTAACGGCGGTTTTCGACCATCAAGCTATGGGATTTGTCCACGGATTTCACTACACCCCATTTCACCAGTTTACCCCAGGCCGATGATGGTTAGGATTGGGGAGATAATCCTCAAATGGCCGTACTCATCTGGTTTGGGACATATTATTTCATTGTCCCAAGTAGTATGGTATATGATGGGAATACTACGGGATTCAATTTTCAGAGATGGAGATTCAATGGAATAATGGTATGCTAATGCAAAATATTGGTCGAAAATAGGATACAACGGAATATCATGGTATACTTATGGGATATTCACGGCAATATCATGCAATATCTCTTTTATTCATGGGATATATTCTCACCAACTTGATATAAAGTTTTGTTTGCCGGGTACAAAAAACATGTGCATATATGAATGATTCCATCAAGTTCCGGCAATTTTCCATGGGAACAATGATGAATGGACCAGTTCATTTCAGTTTTCCCCTAAAATTTCAGGCAAAGCCAGATGAAACAGGGGATAATTAGTTGAAGGCCAAGGGGACGCCAACTCAATCAGATGACCCATCCCCACGTCGTTTTTACGTTGCTCTGCTATGGTGTGTGGTGATTTTGGATGGCAAATTCTGAGAGTTTACCAGGTATGTTGATGACATCCTTGGTCTTTGTTGAATCATTTTTAGTTGATTTCACCTTACAACATGTATCATTCAATATTTTCCCATTAGTCTCCCAGATATATCAATAGATATCCCATGATATTCCACTGTATCCTGCAGATCACCAACATGATATTTGATTGATGAATAGTCACACTACCCTCTGGTAAACTAACAGTCTGTTGTGGAAAATCACTATGTTCACAGGTAAATCAACTGCAAATTTCCAATTTTCCAATTTTCTATAGCAATCTGTTACTGTAGTTTCCGAGAGGGTAACAAATGATCCTCCAAGTAAATGCACCACCAAAGTAAGATCTGAGGAGCATTGAAGGCTTGCACTACTTGCCGCTTGGCGTTGGTTTGTTGAAGCCTGGCGGTTTTTTGGGTGACTTGCACTGTGGGTTTTTCATGGTGGATAAAACAAACATAGACATACATTAGACATACTATAGATAATTAGACATTGAAAACAAAAAACGTTCAGACAGAGCACTCCTGGAGGATCAGCCCAGTTAGTAACATTTTCTTTGTAACCGTGGTTCGTAAGTCCCCTAACTGGATTAACGGATTCATCATGGGGTTATAACCCCACTTACAAACCAGTTACGAGTCGTGGGACGATCCTCTAAATCAGCTATTAAATCACCTATTAAATCATCTATGGGAGTATGTTGTCCCAAAAATATCTCACTGATATTCCTAGAGTTTAAGCATCAAGAATTAAACCATCCACAGGGGATGTGGTTGCATGTGGTTCCAATTCTGGTCATCGTTCATGGCCCCAAGGCACTACTGGCCCTTGTTCCACGACCATGAAGCCTTTGGAAGCCGCGCGGGCTGCATGGGGCTGGAGAGATCCCATTTGGGCCCCGTACTCTAGCACTGTTTTGCGGGGAAAAAAGTTGGTTTTAACCATCAGAAATATAGATGGGAATTGCTAAATGCTAGTTGATGATTCATTGTATGGTTTTTTTTGTCTGTCTAATATATTGTGTATTATCACAGTCCATTATGTGAAGTCTTATCAACCAATCTAAAGGGAGACAAAGGATTTTGAACACTTCTTATTTGGTTGATGCAAGTTGGAACGAAATAAGTTCAGACACCCGTGTTTTTTATTCAAAGACCTAGCCACTGTTCTGCAAATCATGATAGCAATGCTTCGTTTATGGTTACATAATGATGTTTTTTTGGATATAATCCCTTATAAATGGAGGTTTCAATGGGAAAATCATCTATAAATTGGCCATTTTCCATGGCTATGTTAAATAACCAGAGGGTAGAGTTGTTTATGCCGGAGTTGTTTATGCATATGACACTGGTATCGGGTTGCATTGTAACAACATCGCTGCAATGTCACCATAGACTATGGCTAGTAGATCCTCATTGATCCAGACCTCCTGTTCCTGCTGCGCAAGGGGTGTTTGAATAGTGTAGAAATGGGGAATCATTACAATATATATATATATATAGTTGGAATAAAACTAATTGTAACCAATACAGTAGTTGAATCAAGCTAATTATAACCAATTTATATAACTAATAATTAGTTCTATTCCAACTAGTGTATTCCCCATTATAATTCATAAGACAGGTCATGGGTTTACCATCCCCAACATACGCATAGACCCTGCCATGGACCGCAGGTTGGAAGATCAGTTGAAGTGGATGATCTCCATAATGAAAAGAGGAATCGCCAGTCACACACTTAAGTGGTATATCCCATGATAGTTCATTCATGTTCATGATACATCCTATTAATCCCCCTGTGTTGCTTGGTTAAAACTGATCAGTGATTATATATATACATACATATCTTCCATATCAATTTATTGGTGATATATCCCATTATTCCTATTGGTTATTAGCCAATATTAGTTACTGGGATAAATAGCCACTATTATCACCAATAATCAAAACCATTATTCCAAAAATATCCCATAATCCCAATAATCAAATATTGGCTATCCTAATAAATATTATCACCAATAATCAAAACCATAATCAAAACCATAAAGCCATCAATATTGGTTATTTATCCCCCTTTTTCTCATCAACGACTCACGTGCCGAGGCCTCTTCTCCCGGGCCTGTGACAAGACGGCGGTGGTGGTGCATCGGATGACCACGGAACGATGGCGGACCTTCGACAGGTTCCGTGGAACTTGCTGTGCTGCTGTGATGGGCGAGATGAAGCTGTGGTTTATGTTAGATAACTTTTCAAGTTGGTTGTTACCATAGTCAAAACAGCGTTAAACCCAATATAAGTATATATTATATGCATTACAATGTTTTCATTACCATATCCATTGAAGTGGCATTCAACAAACAAACTATTTCACCAGTTTTCATTACCATAGATTAACCATAGATTAACCATAGATTAACCATAAGTTTAGCGATTGTTATGTCACATGTATCTCTAGCTGGGCTGTGGGATGACTGAACCTGTGGGATCTAACCAAATTGACGATAGCTGGTTGATGGTTTCATTTATAATTTCCAAAGAAAATGTGGGATGATACTCCCGAAGGACCGATTTTTTTTTAATTATTTTGGCTTCAAAACTGTTTGAAACTACCAATCAGATAAATAGATATAAATATTGAATATGCATCGTTTTTGCTGCTATTTAGTGACACCTTTAGTTTCGTGTATAATGGAAAATACAAGTCCATTGTCAGTTGCTGATTGTCAGGGATTGTGGTTTACAGATTCTCTCGCTGCTGAATTCCTCGTAGCGATACTCGCACAACCTACCGGGTTTGATGGTTCAGGGTGATGTATTGTTGTCTATGTGTACCGTCGATGCTGAAACAAAATTTCTGGTTGGTGGTTTGGAACATGACTTTTATTTTCCATTCAGTTGGGAATGTCATCATCCCAACTGACGAACTCCATCATTTTTCAGAGGGGTAGGTCAACCACCAACCATATAGTTATTAACCGTTATTAACCATATAATAACCATATATTAACCATATATTAACTATTAGTATAAGGAGACATTGCTAGCCCTTTTAGATGAGCAGTCCGCGTTCACCCTCCGCTGTTCACTCCAAATTCTGCTTGAGATCTTTCCATCTAATCCTGATCATTCGCAGCATCCAACGAGCAATGCACGCGCAACTACAAGATTGCACGAATTTCTAGATAGAGATGTGGGGTTGTATAGACCATATCAATGGTTTTTGATACTATGGTAAATTGTGCATAGAAACCAGATTTGAGCAGCAGAAATGGTGGAATTACCCTCTGGTAAACTAACACAACTATGGAAAGATCCACCATTTTTAATGGGTAAATCCACTATTTCTATGGCCATGTTCAATAACGAACTGTTCGTTTACCAGAGGGTATATCAAAGATATCTTTGAGTTGTTTTTTTGCTGGTTTGTATATATTCAACACATCATCTCTATGGTGATACTCAAATCCTAATCTCAAACAACCTGCAGATGTCAGGTTCAGTTGTCACATTTGTGGCGAAGATGAGGATCATCAGATGGCCCTGGAGCGCCGCTGGGAAAACACCCTTTGTTGATCGAAAATCCTGACTTTCCACAGAGCCAGGCAAGATAACGTGGCTGATTCCCATTGATTCTTGGTGTATCCCCTTTTTTGATAGTGGGTCTAGTCAAGTCCGATGCTGTTGTTGGTTAATCAACTCTTTTGTCGGGGAATTCTAATTTTGTTGTCACAAGTTCTCCATTTTTTAATGCGTAAAATCATTTGTACACAGGTCTGGGTCCCACCAAAAAAATGACACATGTTTAAGTGCGAAAGTGCCACTGATAAAAAAAAAGTGTTTGCCGGTGGTTTCAAATATGAAACAGATTACTTTCTATTCATGTGAACACCAAAGGAACTCAAGATAAGGCAATGAAAACCAATGAAAATGAAAGAACAACCACTGAAAGCTAGTGAAAACCGAAAAAAGACACAGAAAACCAACGGAAAACAATAGAAAAAACAAAGAACACCTATGCAAAAACCAATGAAAACCAAATGAAAACGACAGAAAACAAATGAAAAACAAATGGAAGCCAAAGAGAACCAATGAAACACCAATAGAAAACCAACGGAAAACCAATGAAAGCTAAAGAAAAAACTAGAGAAAACCAATGAAAACCAATGAAACCCACTGAAAACACCAGACAAACAACAGAAAAAAACAATGAACATCACAGAAGACTTAACTATCACTATTCTTAGTTACTACTATAAACTGTTTATTAACTATCATATGTAGTAAACATTAACCATAAAATTGATGATGATCCAGACGCAGCAGGAGCAGTTGAAGGAAGCCACTGAAGATTTGCCGTTTCCTGGCGGAAGACAGGGTGGATGTTCGCCAGATTTGAGCAACAGAATTGTGGATTTAACATGATTTAAACATATTTAAACAACCTATAGCAAAGTTGGTTTGATATAGTAGATGATAGTGATTTATGTAGTTGGTTTGCTATAAATGATTTTGTTTTTCAAATGTATAGCTAGATACAGCTGATTTATGATATAGCAAAGTTGGTTTGATACTATTATATATAATATAACTATATTGACAATCGGGTTTCTGATATACCGAAAGAGTTTTTTTGGGGTGAATGTAAACCAACAAACATATCTGGGGGATTCTGGGGGGCACCGCCTTGTAGTGATATGGGATGGAATTCTTGTGTACGTTGTGTATAGGTTGTATGTGCAATGTAGATACTCGTATACTGATTCTTATGGGTCGGCCGAAAATGATGCTGAAAAAAAAACATTACGTTTCGGCTTTTGAGAGATGACATGGTTTCTTGTATTGTATTTATAGAACTACAGTGTTGATCACATCAGGCAGATGCATCCATGGTGTAATACTGTAGATTAAGCCATTTTTTCTGTGTATTCGTGTGTAACAATATTAGTGGTGTAATCGTGAATCCTGATTGTTTATGTCTACCAATGCATCCATGGTAAACCATATAGCATAGTGTTTTTTTTTTGCAGAACAACATGATATTCCCATATAGTCCCATAATATTCCTACCACTGTTCGTTTAAATCCCATATGAATACCATTTGTTTCATCCGATAATCTTGCCATATACTGTGTCAGATGCAGTATACTATATAGAGATAATTAGTTGGTTATTCACTTTTACTGCTTACAATGCTATATATATATAAACACTGACTGGATGTGCACACAAATATACAGTTATTGTGGAGTAGATATGACAAAAATAAAATAAACTAACAAAAAATGGGAATATCTTTGAAAATTCTATATTCTATCTACTCCAGGGATGATGATACTATAGCGCCATATATATCCGTATATCACATCTGGTTGGTGGTTTGGAACATGACTTTTATGACTTTCCATTCAGTTGGGAATGTCATCATCCCAACTGACGAACTCCATCATTTTTCAGAGGGGTAGGTCAACCACCAACCAGGGATGAGTATAGCATATTAAAACATATTATAAAATATTATAAAATATTATAAAATATTATAACTATTAAGATGCATAATTGATCTATTCATGATCATTATCAGGTTGGTTGAAACATGTTGAAACCCACCAGGTCCAGCCCACTAGACTTCGACAGCTCCGGCGCTTTGCGCGTCGGGACCGTCGCGCGTCGAGGGAAAGTGCGACTGGCGCGCCTTGGGCGAACGGAGTTTTCACTGGATTGGAAGCGGCCAAAATGGGGAAATGGTGGATTTATGGTGGATGAATTGGAGGATGATCTATAGCTGATTGGTTCAGATTTCATTGTTTTCATAGTGATTTCATGGTGGATTGTTGCGATAGCAGAAATTGGTGACTGCTTCATGGATTGAAGCAAAGCAGACATGGGGAATTCATAAAAATCATAGTTGATAGAGCTGATTCATATTGGCTAACTTGGTTTGTTTGGCGCTTGGTTAGCGAGTTTTTGTGGTAGATATATCTGTAGCTAGTGGGGTCAACATAACCAGCAAACATCACCACGGTGCGCCAGCGAACAAGTCCTTGCGCCCCGTAAAAATGTGGATTCTGCCAGCAATTTTTGTGTGGCTTAAAGCAGCAAGAATCTGCATTTCACCACGATGTTTCCAGCAAAAAAAGATGGGAAACATGGGGAAGGAGCACAAAGTCCATGCAGCAGCGCATTTTTTGGGGATTTGGATAGCAAAGTCCATGGGGGTTCAACCAGGGTCTGATCATCATCTGCCGGGGTTGCTCCGTTCATGGGGTGAAAGTTTGGATGCCAACCAGATCATTCCTGCCTGATTTTATTGCTCATATTGCGTGAGCGTATCCTTTCAGATGATTCTAGATCTATGTATGCATACATTGCATGCAAATATATACATACATCATGTTTCTTACTTACCCTGTAACCCCATATCCTGAAAATAATTTTAAATAATCAGGACTAGGACACCCGAAATCCTGCTGCTGAGGATTGTATGAATCCGTGTCTCAGTCCCACAATCGTGTTTTTCCAGCGATTTGAAAAACAAAACACTTCGGAAGCCTCCACTTGTTTCCTGATGTATTTGTAAAAAATGTGTGTGTGTGTGGATACATATTAGATATACGATAGTACTTTTTTATGTGGGTAAAACAATGTCATAAACCAAGCCATTTTCCTGGGAATGGTAAGTTTGCATAGCACCAAAAAATTGTTTTCTGACTGGGGGATGGTGCAGATGGCATTGTTTTCCTCCAAGGATCTTGATCTTTGGTTCACGCTGGTCTCAGCACCTTGGAGAACGGGCCTGTGAAAACATCAAGAATTTGATGGGCAAAACGTGGCGGTAGAAAACCATATGAAAAACCAACAATAGTGAGCTATAAGATGGTCAGTTGTGTTGGTGAATGTTTGTGAAATGTCCACATTTGCTGTCTCATAATTTGGGATGATTCTTGTTGAATTCATTGACATGTAAGTTATAGGTTAAATTCACCAATAAGAACTGAGGTGGGGATTTGAACCACCAAGAAATGGGAATATGATTTGGCACGAATCGATCAAAGGATTTATTGATCTAAAATGAACCATGGTAATCTGGTTTTCTTGGCAACATATGGCTTATAGGGATTGTGCCATAGGGCTTTCATATGATTTAACCATCTGAATCCGGCGTTAGGGCTCGGCAACAAATCACGCACCACTCCCAGACCCAGAGAGTGAAACCCAACAGTCACTGCTATTGAGTGAAACCATCAAAAAGAGTATTTCACCATCAAAGAATGGATGTACATGGGGAACTAGTCATCAATCAATTTGGATAGATTCGAACGACAGCACTGGCAGACATCACCAGAAATCATGATGAATGTCAAGGTAACTATCCCAAAATGGGCGAGCTTCTCAAGTGGGTGAATTGTACTGTATCAACAATCATTGGGATGGTGTTGGGATGTGAGCCGCCACTTGTCACTTCTTGAAGACATCATGGCCCTATCCCAAGCGTTGAGTAACCCATGATGGGCTCCAAATGATCCATTCGATGGCTATCGCTGGACATTCCGAAAGTTTCGGAAAAAAATCCTGTACCCTCTGGTAAACGTTTACATAGCTATGGAAAATGACCATTTTATAGCTGGCTAAATCAATGAACTAAATAGCCATGTTCAACAGCTATGTTAGTTTACCAGAGGGTACCTCCTGGAGACAGCAACAAGCGGTCCGAGCTGCGATTGGCCGGTTGGCCGGATGCTTGACGGGCCAGCCCCACTGGCTTAACAAAGACACAGCTGCGCGGAACATCGCCCGAAAGACAGAACGGATGGCCAAGGCAACAACAGGGTGGTCCTCCAGCCGGCCGCAAGGGAGCCAAAGCCGCGGCCGCGGTGAGCGTGTGTCCTATCCTGGAAATCCCTTGATTGTGACCCACTTCAACCCACATCCATCCATACATACCTGTCACTATTCGAACAACTCTGTACATATTGGACTCCATGAACATATATGAAATGTATGTTGAAAAATATACAAGCCCCCAAATCCATCCAAATCCGCCAAAATACCTAGTAGCTATGCCGATACCCTTTAACCTCTAGGTAGAACCAGTACAAATCCCACAAAATGACTATATATTCAAGGCAGAAAAATTGACAAAAATTAGCGCCCCAAGAAAAGAACCAGGACTTCCGTCATTACATCCAATGATTATATCTTATGATTTGCTCGTGGTCTTTTCCCGACAATTATTCTCACATCATTGTCCCATCATTAACCCAAAAATTCCGAGGCCTTATCCAACAATCCTTCATTTATCCAAAATTGTTCCATCACTTTCCCACAGTTTCCAATGATTTTCCTATGATATTATCCATTTCCCCAGATTTTGTCATCATTTGCCTATGATATCCTCACGTTTGTTTCAATTTTCCAACCCTTTTTCCTGCATTTTCCCAAGATTTTCCCATGATTTTCCTGCATTTTCCCAGGATTTTCCCATGATTTTCCCGCATTTTCCTAGGATGTTCCCATCATTTTCCCGCATTTTCCCAGGATTTTCCCATGATCTTCCCGCATTTTCACATGATTTCCCAGGGTCTTCCCCATATTTCCACCCCAAGCTACCCCCAGGCCCCGCCTGCGTCGCCACCTCCGCCGTGCCCTCGCGGCCCCCTGCGCCGCGTCGGACGACGTGGTGTGGCGCTTCGTGATGGGCCGCGTGCCGCTGGGAAAACCACGACGACGGGCCGTGGAGGAGTTGATGAGGCGAGATGGAATGGGATGGGATGAATTTAGCATAATTACCATTTAGATCCATTTAGTATATTTGATTAATGTTGATTTAGTGGTGATTTAGTTGTGATTTCATGGTGACGGGGTGAATCCACCATTGGTGATTTTAATGGTAACTTAATGGTGATTTAAGGGGATCTATATAATGGGATCTCGTATTGAATGAAATTTCATGATTCATTATTTTTTTTAGATCCCCTCCAAGTAGCCAGGATTTAATGGGTCAAAGTCCAAGGTCATGGTTTCACGTCAGCACCGTTTTTCCATCTACTTGGAGGGTCTAGGGACATGGGTTTCGGGTCAGATGCGGCAAGATCTCTGGCATACTTTGAAGCCAAATGACCCCCACTGTTGAATGCTGTTCAATAATGTCCAACAGATGTCATGGCTGGAAGTGAAGCAACTAATTACAGATTAAATGTGTCATATTCCCACTATTTCACTACAACATAGACGGTACATGTTCGTTGTAAACCATTGTTATTTTTTGGTTGCGCCTGTTTTGTCTCTGCAGTTTTCAATGGTTTTGCTGGTTTTCAGAGGTCCATTGAATCTACCAATCATGGCAAAGCAAATTCACCCATTCGCAGACTATTTACTCCACATACTTGATATTGTCATTGCCTGATATATTAAATGATATTTATTGTATTAAATTATATTTCATATAACTGCCAAATACACAGAGGGTTCCCACAGTACAGGACAAGGGATTTAAACACTGCCCTGTGGCAATTTAGCTAACAAAGCCAACTTTTGACCGAAGACAGCCGGATCATCATCGCTAACCATCCCCCTAATTATGGCACTTATAATATCCTATAATTCTTTAATCTGGTAAAACCCCATATAAACCAATAGTTGATAACCATTCCCCTAACTGCCCTAATGGTGATTAAGCCATATTAAGCTAATATAAATCAGCCAGGCACCGCGACATGACAGCATTGCGATATGCCGCGGATGGCAGCTATGCCTATGAAGAAGCCTGGCCCTTGGTCGAGGCGGGGATGGCTTACCATGGATCTTTCAGGGTGATCATGTGATCTATCGATGTGCGGGCCTTAGGATCCTTGTTTTTTGAATGTGTTTGATCCATATATATTATCCTTATATATCCGTGTAAGCCTATAAATGGTGATTTTGAAAGTGTCAGAATCTTATGGGCCAATGATTTTGTGTCTCGGAAAGAAGAAAGGCAAGCCCTTCTCTGCACGCATCTGGGTGTCTCTGAAAATGTGATGTGTTGATCCCGCAATTTATGGCATTGCAGTCAGTTGAGAAGATTACTATGTTCACTTGCGCAAGCACATGCTCCAGCTATCCCCAGTATATCCCCATTGATATCCCCATTATATATCCATTATGTTCCCTTTGTAGCACCCCCAAAAAAAGATGCCGAACCATAAACAAATTCACTATAAAATTGTGATGAAGTACTTTTCCTATCATTTTCGTTTGGGGGGATCTCGGGGTTGCTATATACGATGTATTTCTCGTGGTTAAACGTGATACCCCACGGCCATGATCAACCCATCAAACCAGAGCATTCCTTGAGTTTTTGCCCGGGGGAACGTTAAGGGTTGGGGTTTTGTCCTCATGGTTTCCTGGATGTTCCCCAACAAAAAACAATGATATTCAATGGGAATTCCAGGATCCTAAAATGGAGGTACGCTAGTACCATTTTACAGGCCATATTTTTGGGGTATATCCCCTATATCCCCTGACAGAGGCCTAAAAAATAGGCCTTATTTATGGTAGGTACCTCCAATGAATCGGTTCTTGTTGCATGGCCATTGAGATATGGAGAATCAAAGAAAACATGAGAACTCCACAGCTGTGCCACAGGATGAACAAAAAATATGTTGCCGCCCTGTTAGAAGTTGGTTTATAAACCACATTCACTACATAGTTTTTTTTGGATATAGTCCCCGGTGTAGAAAGCTGGACATCTGAATAAGTGATTATAAGTGAATATTATTGTTTATACTGTTCTGGAAACACGTTTCGGCATTTTTGTTGGGTTATTACCAACCTATACTTAAATATCATTTATCATAATTCCACATGTTAATATGTAGATAAATCCATTGACACCACCGAATGTTGCTGGTTTTTTATGATCCTGTTTCATGGTGAAGTCCTGGACCCGCTGGATCGATCAACAGGAGCACTTCGGTCATGCTGACTTTGTGCTGTGTTTGGATCATCGGTCTTTCGTCAATGTGAAGGCGATCCTGGATGGTGCAGCTGTGGTGGTTGATTGGTGGACTTATACTTTGTACATGTTCTACTTGGTTGGGGATTTGACTTTTACTACCTAATTTTGTTGGGGATTGTGATAACCTATAGTTAGTAGAGAAAACGCTTTCAACCAGTATTTCATGAGATGGGAAACACGGGTATGTCTAAATGGCCCAACTGTTGCTGTGTTTTCTGTGTTTCCGTGCTGGTGAACTCCCAGTAATATGAAGAATTGTGTCCTTCAACTTCCTTTTTGGGTGGTTTTCAAGTCAAAACAGGAAAAATCCTTGGATGATTCATCACACTTTTCGTTTTTCCCTAACCAAATGCATACAGTCAGGGTGAACATATGTTCTAGTCGGGGAGAATAGACACATTGTCAAACGTCATCCAATGTCATCCAAAGTTATGGCCCAACTAACAGTTAAAACAGGGATTGGCCATAACTTCTATAACTAGTTGGTGATATAGAATCCCAGTTATAATATGTTATAATCATGAAACTCCAATCCTATAACTCCATGACATTAGTTTAGTTATAAGTCATATTATTGGGAGTATAGCTCTTATATATCAGTATAATTGGGATTATAACAGTTGTAACTGGGATACTAAGGTTATATATCATACAATGTGGTGCCCCCTAGATAGCTAAGTTGGTTTATAACTCCAATAACTATGGTTTATAGATGATATATCTACAGTTAATGGGATTATAAACCAACTTATAACTTGGGGGGCACCACCTTGTAAGATAATCCCAGTTCTAAACTGCTTGTTGGGCACAGGTGCTGTTGCAGCTGCTGGAGCGGCTCCCAATGCAGCGGATGATTCAGGAGCCCGGTGGATGGGGGAGGATGGGGATACTACTTCACTGGCCAATAAAAAAGGGGATTATAATGGATAGGAGGTTATATATATGTATACAGGGGGTTATAGGGGATTGTAGGGTATTATATATTAGTCAATAGCCAATAGATGGGATTGATATTGCTTGCCCAAGTATGGAAGATTATAGGGGACTATTCTATCCAATAGATGGGTTTAGATGAGAATTACCACCGGGTAGAGTTTTTTTTTTTAAATATTGTTTTCTTTGGCGTTTAAGTGTTTGACTCATGAATTACAGTGACAGTGGCGGTGTATTTGATAAATTATTGGTTGGTTGTTGATTAGTTCCGAGATTTTACTATCAAATGTATTGGGGAGTATCATGACTCATGGGCTGGGGAAGCATAGCAGGACATGGGATAATTCTTTAAGGAACTTCAAATGACCATGATGTTTGAAAGTCCTTGAGTTTGTTTTTGAGATTCCAGCATCAATTGTTGTGGACGCAGAAAGCACCTGGCATGAATGAATCACCAGCCACAAAAAGGGAAAGCATAGGTCTATTTCGCCCAGTTTTCGCCATATGTGATGTCTTTCTTTGACCAAATTCTTGATGACCAATCTCCAAGCATCGCCCCTTGCGATCCATAGCCTAGATACATTGGATCAACAATCGACATGAAGTGGGGATATCCTGGGGATAGTGCGCCAACGTGCCATGGATATCCTTTGTCCATTTGCATTGATGAATTGGTTGGTGGTTTGGAACATGACTTTTATGACTTTCCATTCAGTTGGGAATGTCATCATCCCAGCTGACGAAATCATATTTTTGAAGATGGTTAAAACCACCAACCAGTGAAATATGATGCGAAGAGGATGCAGATTGGATGACAAGCAAGTGACCTTTTTTGGCAATGTGCGCCACATACTTTTTGACACATGGAGAGATACCACTATATCAAGTACCCTCTGGTAAACTAACATAGCTATTGAAAATGGCCATTTATAGTGGATTTACCCATTAACAATGGTGATTTTCCATAGCTTTTTGTTAGTTTACCAGAGGGTATATCAAGTAATTACCTGGTTTCTGAATACATCTGAATACATATTGTATTTGAATTAATCTCCAGTTGGTGATTCATATATACCTATTTGCCCTTTGCAATTTTTTACATGACTATTGAAAATGTAGGCCCATGAAAATCGATGACTCAAAATGATGATTTTCCATCCCCATGTCACACATTTCCAGAGGTTCCATCCAGTAAATCACCATTAAATCACCATTAAAAAGATCACCATGTTTTTTAGTTGTTGCATAGCTCTTGAAAATATGTTGGCCCCTTAAAATTGTTTTCATGTTTACCATATATATATATATATATCTATATATATATATGTGTGTTTTACCTATTCAAAATATGATGTTTTTCCATCGCCATGTCGTTGACTCGCAGGGTAATCTCCTGGATGAGTCCGTCTTCGATCCCGACGACGCCCGGAGGTGCCCGGTGAATCGATGGGATTTTACCAACAAACCATGGGGAGTTGGCTTCATGTGATTTTTAACCAGCAAAAAATATATGATTTTTGTTTGATTATCATGAAAACATGGGGTATTCACCTCTCGTGAATTTGGTGGTGAAATCAGATGAAATCAGCCATTTAATGATGGGATCTATATTTCATGATGGTTGATATGGGAAGTCATTTCAAAATAAAAGTTGTTTTTCGCAGTTTATGAATTGGGTCATGCAAAAAACATCCAAAAATAACCTTTGGAACTATATATAAGTGCATTATGTGCGTTAAAGCATGTTTAAGGGACACACGATAAATATATGATGATTGATTGACAAGCGGAATCTCGAGGTATTCGAAATTGAACCCCCACTAGTGCTGGTTAAACCGCCATGAACCAACCATTGTCAGTGCCGTTCTGAAAACCCCATTAACAATTCATTCAGGTTCAATCATCATGATCGTTGGCTAAACCACATGTTTTTTGCTGGTTAAATCACCATGTTTGCTGGTTAAGCCCTTGTTTTTGCTTGTCTAATCTAACCATTTTTGTCTGGTTTATGAGTTGCTAATGAAATCATCATGTTTTTCTGTTTGAAAGCCGTTCCATTCACCAGTCCCATAGGATCCATGGTGCTGGTATATATGCTAACATTTGGGGTATATTGATGGTAAATGTTACCATATATAGCAGCACCATGGATCCTATGGGAGTGAAACCATATTTTTTTTTCTCCTGACTACGTAGGAAGTACTTGTGGCGCCGCCGGGCGGCGTCGTTTCCGTCGCGTGGTCCAATGCGTGGGCGTTGAAAACGGTGAAAATGGGGTATGTTTCACTAAAGATGTGATATTAATAGTGGTTAATAGTTTATAAACCAACAACAATGGGAATATGATGGTGATCTGGTTGGTGGTTTGGACCATGTTTTATTTTCCATGATAGGATGTCATCCTTCCCATTGACGAACTCATATTTTTCAAGATGGTTAAATCCACCAACCAGCAACTATCAGGGATATTATTGGGACTTATTTTATTTATTTATTTATTTATATATATAATGGGATATGAAATCTAACAATCATATGTTGGGTTTGTTTTGAACATGGGATATACAAACAAAAAAACAACGCTATAAAACGTGTAGGATCATGATGATTTCCTTCTGTAGATTGAGGGCAAGAATCCATCTTCCTCGGAATAGATGTCCTGAATGGTCGAATACTGGGGTTGGGGTGTGGCTATTGCTGGAACAGATACCAAAAAGACAAACTTCGACATGGCGTCGCCTGTGCCAAATTCGATTCTTTTTGAACCATGGTCTTTTGGTGATGTATGGCTGACAGCCTGGGGGAGTATTAATCCAGGGTTGACATTATATGAAGGGCCAGTTGAATTTCAGTAGAAGTTGACGAGATTACTGGTTGGTTACTTTACCTGTCCCCAATCGCAATATTTGCCTTGGGTTTCCATAGCATGTTATGTCCGTTTGGGGGTACACCGGTATACCGCATTTCAGACCCACAGCACCATGATCCATTGAATAAATCCCTATAGTTGATGGTCAAGCCCCAATTTTGCGGGTAGAACCATATGGACTCCTTTTTCTTCATCGTTGAATCCTATTTTTAGTTGATCAACTCCATGTTTTGGTTAGTTAAATCCCAATGTTTGTTGGTAAAATCATGTTTAATCCCAATATATTTAGCCAGTTAAAAAATCATAAAAAAACTATTCCTGATGGTTCAATTCCTATTTTCCATATCCATGTTCATTTTCTGAAGGACAATTCGAGCCCCAAAAAAAACAACAGGACTTTCCAAGCCTCGGCCTCGATGGGCCTCGATGGGCCGCGCCAAGGCATGGCATGGGCTTCGTCCTGTCCAACGACGTTGCGAAGTTCATTGCTGAGATGAGTAAGAAGCTGCCCTTGAGACAGGCCACGGCATGGAGAAAGCAATGGACAAGGGATTTGGAGACCTTTGAGACCATTTTCAGGTACTTGGGAGGTCGAACAAGTTCAGTCAATTGAATATATCCCCATTTCACAGAAAAACCTTTTGAAACTCCACCGCAAACAATCCCAATGAGATGGTGGAGAATTCCATCGCCTGCTGTGCACCTGGAGCTTGACCTTGATGGGAGTGTTTAGTTGGTGCTGAGCATCGCAAAGTCTTGCCGAACTTCGTGGGTTTGTAGGAGGATACCCCCAGCTGGATGGTTTATTTCGTTGATTTCGAAAAGTCGAAAATCAGCTCGCATGATGCCAGGTGGTACCCCTATTTTAGGACACCTCCATATCTGGTTGGTGGTTTGGAACATGACTTTTACTTTTCCATTCAGTTGGGAATGTCATACTCCCAACTGACTCATATTTTTCAGAGGGGTTGTTTTACCACCAACCAGATTATTATTAACCATCATTAACCATATAGTAACCATCATCATTAACCATTATTAACAGTATATTAACCACCAACCAGATATGTTTGACACAAGGAATCCATCAAGCTTCGGACGCCAGGCGGAGACGCCGGTGGACGTGGCGTTGGGCTTCTGGATCCAGCTGCTGGAGGAGAGTTCGAGTGTTGCGGCGGTTGAAGCGTTGGGAGCATAGGGATCTACATGAAAAATGGTGCTTTAAGCGACAAAAATGGCAGTTTCACCATGACAAAATGGTGGTTTAAGACTTTAAGAATGAACAAGTGGTGATTTTACATGCAAAAAAAACGATTTTACCAATCAATTATGGTGGTGTAATGGCGGTTTAACAAGCGAATAACGGAGATATGTTGGGGGTTTAAGCCAACATTTTTCTAGCATATCATAGCAAATTCAGATTTAACCCATAGACTCAGACTAATAGATTTGGTAGATAATATGGTCTAAAACCCAACATTTTGTTTATGATATTTTTCTGATGGTGGAATAATCCGGTATGTATGCAACTTTTGGTGTAATCGTTTGCGCACCATGGGGTCATGATCCGCAAGAAAACTTTTTCTGACTCCCCAGGCGATGGGATCAGCTAGTCTTTTTGCATGCAAACCTGCAAATACTTCAGGAAGACTGAAGAGGAGATCAATGGACTGGCCTATAGTTGGGTGGGGCCCATCACCTGCATGCACTTCACACCCAACTTCAATGAGAAGCGCCCATACTTTGAGTGACTGAAGAAGTGAAGGAAAAACATGAGAGCTGCCCAAGGTGTTCCAAGCATATGTTGTTTCTTGGATGCTTTCAAGCCTTATTGGCTTTAGTTGACTTATGTCTTTTCAAGTCTCGTGCTTGGGGCCCGGAGCTGAAGCAGGCAAATGCTGCATCGACTGCAATGGGGTTCTCAACGAATACCCCGACATCAAGGCTTTGTCAAAAGTCTCTCCCTGCAGCGCGCTGCTGTACAGAATCTTCGTCAAAGTTGTGAAAGTCATATAGTGGGTACACAATGAAAAGGGTGAACATGACTTGACCATGAATTGGATGAATTTTGAGCATCACGGCAGCATCACGATTGATATGACCAACAGAAAATTTCGATGCGATTGCTTTGTTTCAACCCCAATCTCTGGGTGGTTTGATTGGGAGACTTCGAATTTTCCAGTTGTTTCTTAGGAAACCCATGGTGTTGGAGTGAACGTTGCAAAGCATCCAAGTCACATGGCGTCAGTACTGTCCAAGATAAAAACCACCGTATAGATCCACAGAGTACTATTCCCCATGTATTGTTTACTGTTTGTTCATAGCTACATGATGCTACATGTCTTTTTTGGAGTGAACAAGGTTGCTCCAGTCCCATAAGGGCAGGAAGTTGGGCATCTTTCAGGGACATTGGTCGCTTGTGACCCTAATCACTGTTTCTACGTTTTGAAGTAAAAAAGATAGGGTCACAAGTGACCAGGTGTGCTCGAAGTCCCACACCTGCCACACGAAAATGGTGCGGCCCCTTTGTGGTCGCCTGTGACCCTATTCGTGCCCGAAGCATGATTTTTGGAGGAAGTCTCGCAGAAAAGCTTCGTTTTTGAGTTTTGTAGCTTCATTTTTGAAGGAAGTCTCGCAGAAAAGCTTCGTTTTTGAGTTTCGCAGCTTCATTTTTGAAGGAAGTCTCGCAGAAAAGCTTCGTTGTAGAGCTTCGAAGCATCATTTTTGAAGGAAGTCTCGCAGAAAAGTTTTTGTGTTTGAGTTTCGAAGCTTCATTTTTGTAGGAAGTCTCGCAGAAAAGCTTCGTTTAAGGGCTTCGAAGCTACATGTCATTTATTTATCTATCTATCTATCTATCTATGTATCTATCTATCTATCTATCTACCTATCTAATTATCTATCTATCTATCTATCTATCTATCAATATCAATCTATCAATCTATCAATCTATCTCTATCTCTATCTATCTATCTTGTTATTATCTTATCTTATCTTATCTCATCTTATCTATCTATCTATCTATGTATCTATCTATCTATCTATCTATCTATCTATCTATCTCTATCTATCTTGTTATCTTATCTTATCTCATCTCATCTTATCTTATCTTATCTCATGTTATCTTATCTTATCTTAACTTATTTTATCTTATCTATCTATCTATCTATCTATCTATCTCTCTATCTCTCTCTATCTCTCTATCTATCTATCTATCTCTCTCGCTCTCCCTTTCTATCTTGTTATCGCTGTATCTCTTTACCTCAACTTCTAAAAACGGTCCGAACATGGTGTGTTTTGTACATGTTGACTCTCTCTCTCTCTCTCTCTTTCTATCTCTTTATCTCTCTATCTCTCCATCTCAACTGCTAAAGGCGGTCCGAACATGTTGGTTTTTGTGCATGTTGACTTCGAAATGGACGTCACGCCACAACGGCGTGCAATTTTGTATTTCTCATCTGGGCAGCTGGCTCCGCGCCCGCCGCTGTAGCGAGCTTACTTGTCGACCCTCCGGAGCCACAAGGCATTGGAAAACACTACCTTTTGGCTCCTCTGCATCTTCTTTCTTCTGACTCGTTCTCTTCTCTGATCTGCTCTCTTCTGCTCTTCTCTTCTCTCTGCCTCTTCCCATCTCTGCTTTTCATCTGCCCATATTGTCGGAAGTTTGATTTCGAAACTTCCTTCGATAATGCAAAATATATTCACGAAGAAAGTTATACACAGACAAACTCGCGGCCAGACAATTATACAGAAAGTTGCGGCCAACCTTAGCAATCCATGCGTCGGTGATGCACTGAATTTCACCACCATTGACAATGGTATAGTATGATAGTATACTGTTATATCCATGCATGTCCATCTATTTGTCCATTAGGGCATTAGGGCATATCCATTCACATTGTACATGGGTTGTACAAGTCTCGTGACCTTCCAATATGTTGCACTGTGGTGCTCAAGTGATTGCTGAAATCCTGGGAGAAAGATTAGTTTGTGAAGTTCATGCGCGCACTTGCGCTAAAGAATTTTCAAATCGCATGTGCCAAGTTGCAGTCCTCAATTGTGCCAAATTTGGTATTGTGTCGTCCGCAGTGGCATTTTGCCAAGGCAGAAGGTGGGTGCAGCATCACGTAGACAAGAAACATATAGTTACGTATTAGGCTTCAATCTGCTTCATGTCATATCACCCAACCAAACCCTAAATGGCTGAGTCAAGTAATGATCTAAGTTGAACGATCCCTCCCCCCCAACCAAACCCTAAATGGCTGAGTCAAGTAATGATGTAAGTAGAATGATCCCTCCCCCCCAACCAAACCCTAAATGGCTGAGTCAAGTAATGATCTAAGTTGAATGATCCCTCCCCCCCAACCAAACCCTAAATGGCTGAGTCAAGTAATGATCTAAGTTGAATGATCCCTCCCCCCCAACCAAACCCTAAATGGCTGAGTCAAGTAATGATCTATGTCAAGTAATGATCTAAGTAATGATCAGTGTTGATGATTTTCCCTGTAATGTTTGTATATGATTGGGTTCCAGAAGTGACGCCTCAGTACCAATGGGGAAACTGGAAAATCGACTCGCCCTCGACGCCGAAAAGTGCTTTTTGTGTTGGAAGTGAGTTGATTTTTGGTGTTGGGAGTGAGTTCTTGGTGTTGGGAGTGAGATGGTGTTGGAAGTGAGTTGATTTTTGGTGTTGGAAGTGAGTCGTTAACCAAGTTTAAATAAAGAAGTAGAATGGAGACAATGGTATAGTGGAACGCAGGGGGGGTGAAGTTTAAATGAAGAAATAGAATGGAGACAATGGTATAGTGGAACGCAGGGGGGGGAGGAAGTTTAAATAAAGAAGTAGAATGGAGACAATGGTATAGTGGAACGCAGGGGGGGGAAGTTTAAATAAAGAAGTAGAATGGAGACAATAGTGGAACGCAGGGGGGGGGAAGTTTAAATAAAGAAGTGGAATGGTGACAATGGTTTAGTGGAACGCAGGGTGTGGGAAGTTTAAATAAAGAAGTAGAATGGAGACAATGGTATAGTGGAACGCAGGGGGGGAAGTTTAAATAAAGAAGTAGAATGGAGACAATGGTATAGTGGAACGCAGGGGGGGAAGTTTAAATAAAGAAGTAGAATGGAGACAATGGTTTAGTGGAACGCAGGGGGGGGGAAGTTTAAATAAAGAAGTAGAATGGAGACAATGGTATAGTGGAACGCAGGGGGGGGAAGTTTAAATAAAGAAGTAGAATGGAGACAATGGTAAGTGGAACGCGGGGACGCAATGGGGGAAAAATGACGTGGAAATAGAATGTTTAGAAGAACTTGAAAGTTTAAATGAAGAAATAGAATGGAGACAATGGTATAGTGGAGACAGCATGGTGGAACGCAGGGGGGGTGAGAGTTTTTAAAGGAATAGGGTCGCAAGTGACCGTTTTTTAGGGTCGCAAGTGACCGGGGATTTTAGGGTCACAAGTGACCGTTTTTTAGGGTCGCAAGTGACCATGGACCCATCTTTCATCCCTAGTATTTTAGGCGTTGGGAGCAACCCTGGTGAATGCTGGCAATTTCTGTGAATGTTCAAGAAAATGGAGCCAACAAATTGAGTTTGAACTATGATGTGGCTACAACACAACTGCAACCATGGTGAAATCTCTGCTGTTCACTGCCTCAAACGGTTCAGATCCTCTTGGGCAACGCTTGACTTCCCCAACTGGTTGATCCATCCTTCTGCCACCCTTAAAAAACTTTGTGTATCTAGTTCAAACCCAGACCCCTTGACCCCTTTTCATGATGTTTCCGCACTTCAAGGCCGTAAACCCTCATTTCCACCAAGAAACGACGCAGAAATCTCGGCGCAGGACGTGTCCTTCCAGCACTTCCCCGAGCACTTCCACGAGCTGCCCATGCGCTCGCAGCAACTGCTGAGCTCGGAGACCTCCATGGAGTCGCGTGGCAATGGCTGATCAATGGTGATTGGGTGAGAGATGAATGGTGGTTTAAGGCATTGATGGGAATGAAACCGTGTTCAAAGATGGCTTAGCTATAGAACATGGGGATCAAACAAATCGCCTTAAGTTCCAATATTAGATCATATATATATATATGTTTAAAACATAACTTAACATAAATCAAATTGTCTGAAAAACCTTTGTTTTTCCCCATCTTCCCCAGTCACCATATGATTCCCATGATTTTCACCATTGTTCCATCATTTTCCACCATTTTCCATCAGTTTTCCACCATGTTTCCATCATTTTCCATCATCAAATTCCTATTTTTCACCATGAAATCCGGATCTTCCCCCAGGCTCCGTCGCAACACCACGGCGCACACTGTGGTGACATGGCCCATGGGTCCCCGCTGGTGGCGCCACTTTGACCCTGGGGCGTGTGCCTCGGCCGCAAACGGAGGACTGGTGGAGACGGAGACGTGGAAATATTTGATTTTTTATGGGATATAAAACCTATAGATATGGGATTCCCATCATAAAATGGGATACATATAGATGGGAATTAGATTATCTATTGATATAACTATTGGATTTACCGGGATATACAAAAATTGGATAAAAGCCATCATATTGAATCCCATGGGATATATACAACCTATTGAAATAACCTATTGAATTTCATGGGATTCAGCTGCGACAATTGAGGCCACCTCCTGGGGCCCAATACGACCAGCGGCTCGGCCGCGGCTTTGCGCGTCACCAAGGTGGCGCCGGGCCCCGCCGGGGGACGGGGCCATGGGCCAGAAACGTGGACGTTGATACTGTGGTTGCGAAATCCAAATCACCAGTTGAAAACGGTGGTTTACATCCGCAAAAATATGCCATGAGCTACAATTCAATGTTTCATATAGTGACTAATAGTTATCAACTGGTGCAGGATTTTGTCACATGGCGATTGGCAAAAATTGAGCGACCTCAGTGCAATCTCACCTGTGATGATGGTTCACAAAGGGAATCATCCCAGAATGGTTCAACTTTTCAGGTCGATGAAATATTGTAATTGTCTAGAGATGTTTCATTTGTGTAGGTGTTATGTGGGTTTGTCCGAAAATGTATGGGAAAACCCTTATGTAATTGTTTTATGGTTCACCACTATTTTCTCATTAAAATGGCTATTGAGGGTTGTAACCGCCACATTTTCAGACGCATAGTACCCATCTGTTATTTGTTTATTTTGTTCTTTGACTGATTGTGATTGAATTGGAATGTGATGTGTTTTCGTTTCCATCGTTATCCGAAACAAAGGGATGTTCTTTTTTTTGCATGTTTGATCAATCGGCATTTGTTTACTTGGAAAAAGGGACATTTCTGAGGCCGTTCATGCTGACCGGGATGCTAGAATATTGATGGTGTTGATGGTGTTTGTTGATGATGGTCATGATATTGATGATGTCTACAACCCCATCCCATGGTGGATATTCCGCATGTGTATGTGGGTTAAAATGAGTTGTGTGGTTAAAAAACATTGTTTGAATTAGTTTGAAACTCATGTGTGGCAAAAATAAAGGGTCAGGCTGGGTGAATCGTCATGCCAGGAAGATCTCAATGATGGTCAGGTCATCAAACCAGTTTAATCCCGCTATTGGAAACCTGTCACCCTAAAATCAATTGCAGTATATATCCTGAATCTTTATCTACCATCCCCAATTCTATTCCAACTATATCATCATTCTGTCACCATTACATAGTTATAGAGTGCTATAGATGGTATCACCATAATTATAATATCATCATTCTATCACCGGTATATCCCTAAGTTATCTCAATTGTATCCCCACGATTGATGTTGCCAGGATGTCCACGACTGCTGGAAAGGGATGCCCGGACGCCCCGAGGCAAGGCCAAACTTGCGGTGATTGAACCTACCAAAAATGGTGGTTTAATGGTGATTTAATTAATGGGATTTAACACTTGCTTAATGGGATTTCATGACTATTTTATGGTGACTTCATGGTGATACTATTGGGAGGTACAATCTACTTGGGGGTGCAGTGAAGGTGTTATTACTTGATGGGTGTAGCCATGGCAATAACCACTATAAGTTGGGATATAAGCCCTAAAACTATATATATATATATATTACATATGATGGGTTATAATATATCAACTTATGACTCTGGCCTCACCCCAAAAGATCAGGTTTGTTCGGAAATCACTTGGGGTTTGAAACCCATCTACTGCTAGCGGAAAAAAATGTGCTCGATAGACGGCTTGCTTGGATCAGAGTAAACCCTCCTTGAAAAGCATCTTAAATCGATTTTCCAAGCCACCTCTGAATGGGCAATAGTGGAAATTGGTGTTTGCAAGCAGAATTGCAGGATGTTTCTACCATCAGTTAGTCAATGGGATGTTGGGGTTTGCCCTGAAATGGAGTATACCCGGCGTATCCCAGTTTATTGCCATGGTTTCTATGGTGTATTATGGTGTAAATCATGGTCAAACGGAAACCCCCAAATCATATTCCCTAAGAAACTACTACATGCTATTACATGCTGTAAAATATTAAGTATTACCAGTTGGTATAAACTCATATCAATCTCCCTCACCACAATTGCCCCAGTTCTGTTGGTTGATTAATGACACCCCCTTTATCTAGTTGGAAATATCTATCACAAACCGAAAAGTGACGTTATTTCCATCAATTTACCTATCATATCCTATCATGAATCAGCTTTAAATTTCATAAAATCACCATTGTTTTTGGTTTAGTCACCATTTCCCTGTTTTTCCTATGGTTTTGTTGGCCCGTGGGCACCACCTCCCTTTCCATTCCTTTGTTTCTGTTCAATCCCCGGGTGGCTGGCCTTGCTTTCGGTATTTCTGATTCCACCATCATCCCATCCACCATCACCAGCAATAGAGGCTTAATATTCTCATTCCACCTCGGCCATTAGTATAGGAAATCATTCATTAGTATAGGCTAGGTATGTATATAAGTAAGCTTAAATCAGTGATGATATCCTATACTAATGGCCAATCGGTGATTCATCTTCAAAACACAATCAGAGCATTTCAAAGCTGTGCATGTGAACCATCATCCCACCAAACCAACTTGGCCATACATCCATCAAAAAAGACGTGGTGGTTTTTCACGACTTCGCAATCAATCAGCTATGTGAACTATAACTATAAATCCCCATTGTCTTTTGCTTGAATCCATTTGAATCACCATAAGACTGCCCTTTGAATTTATATCCACTAGATTTGCCCGTGACTGCTCACGAGTGGGTCGACAGGAAAACATCTGGAAAACCTCGGCGAAACTGGAACATCATCTTAGGAGTACCGCCGCCGAGCTTCGGACGGGGAAGCGAGTACCGCTCGAGTCGCAAATGACGGGTTGAGCCTCTGCCACGTTTAACACGTGCTTCAACCCGAATGAGGCAGACCTTCCGACTTCCGCAGTGGCTTCCGATGTGACGTCCGGCCTAAAAATTGCGGCGAAGCTTCCACCGACCGTTGTGAATTATGCCTAAACGAACTATCAGATCTATCAGCAACTCGCTATGATTTGAATCCCCATGATTCGTAGGTTTTCCCATCTATAAATGGATTACAACCATGGGATCCCAACCCCCATGAACCCCCTATAGTGAAATCCCCTGGTGAAATCTGCTGGGTCATGGGAAATCCCATGGTGGGCTCGTCAGGCGTGGTACCTGGCGTGTTGTTCCATGGGTTGGGCCAACTGCTGGGGCAACGACTTCACTCCGGAGCGCTGCTGCAAGGTTTCCCCAGCCGAGCCGTTGCCAGGTGGGAGCTGTTGGTGGAGATATCACCTGTGGGGATTTAACAATAGATCTGGGTAAATTATAACGACCTCACTGTTCTCCCGAACCCTGGAAATCATGGTTTTTATAGGGAAATCATCCCCAAATGGCCGAACTATTCAGGGTAGTGAAATATTATTATTTACCCAGATAAATGTCAATATCAGGAGCTATAAAACCTGATTATCCAATTTCAACAAGTAGTCATATGAACTTTGAAAATATCAGGGATTAATCCATACAACTTGGGATTTGGAGCAGGACATTGGGATTTCACCATCGAAATTGATACAGTGATTCTGGGAATGTGATATGATCTGGTTTCTTTGCAATAAGGACGTGACCATCAACGTACGGGCGGATTAATCTACCAAACATGGGGATATGGGTCAATACATCTGAGTATGATTTTCTTTCTGAAAGGAGTGCGCGAACACCCAAGCTATTTTGGATGCGAACGCATCGGTGCCACTATTGAAGTTTTATAGCTAGTAAGGGAATCCACCCAAAGTTTTCAGGTTTGCGTTGTCAGTTGTTTGTGGTGGTGGGGTTGGATGGAGGCTATTAAGAAAAGATAGGGCGAGGTCACGTGTTTTTTTCCTGTCTGGGGAGGCAACAAGGGACTCGTCATTTAGGTAGTACTATTCCATTTATTTCCTGCAAGATTGGCACATTCCCAGATCGCAGAGACGGAAAACACAAACACAAATTTCACAGTAAAGAAATTTAGGTAGGAACTGGTAGGATATATGTTGATGATATTTGCACATTCCAATCTAAATGACTTGACGCATGGAATTAGTGGTTTTGAACTGAACCCAGAACTTCCATTCCTCCTTATTTAATTTAAGGAGTTTTTTTTAAAGGAATTCCACCTTAATTAAGGAGGAATTCCCTTAATTAAGGAGGATTTTTTCCTTAATTAAGGAATTCCACCTTAATTAAGGAGGAATTCTCCTTAATTAAGGAGTTTTTTTTTTGAAAATTCCTCCTTAATCTTTTTTTAAGGAGGATTTTTTTCACTGTTTTTAGATACATCTTTGACATCATCATTGCATCAAGACCAACCTTTGGAGGTTGCTTCAAGGAGATGCAAGATCTCCTTTTGGTGTTTTGATTTCCTGCATGTACTGTTTCTGCATCGCATCTGCAGTTGATTTCTCAAGATGAATAGAGCTAAGAACACTGCTTCTGTTCAAGACCTTTGCACATGTTTGAAAGCAGAGGTGGCTTGTTTGGATCCCAAGGAGTACTTGGATGTTGAAATTGATCAAGTTTGCAAGCATTATCGAAAATTTCTGGGCTTGATGTTCCAGAAAACAATTCGACCATCCAAAGACTGCTTGAAGGAAGCTGCCTTGAAAGTCAACCCTCGCACTTTGAGTGACGAAGCGAAGAAGTGGTCTTCTGCAATTGTCGAATGTGTGCAACACATCAGAACAAAAGCAAAATGGTCAATTTCAAGTAAGAAATATGAGCCTTGGATGGGTAAGCTTGTGAAGATCTATCTGGAGTGCTCAGAATTCCATGGGAACCGGCAGAAAGGCAAGTTTGTTCAGAAAGCCATTGCCAAGCGAAGGCTCATGAGACAAAGTTCCAATGCGAGCTCCATCCCACAGTTGCCTGTGAATGAACCACTTTTGCAAAAATTTCCTCCAGGCCACAGCTCAGAAACATTGGATAGCCAAGAGCATCAATTGATAGAAGTGTCGAGCGAAGAGAGCCAAGCGAGTCCTAAGAAGCCTGTGAGTGTTGGAACCTGGATCGATTCTACTGCCATGGTGGTATGTCGCTTTGTGGATAGCAAGGTGGAGAAAGCTACTATGAGTGAAGGACCAAATGGCTTCGCCATTGCTGCTTTTGGTGAAAACAAATTTGAATCTGAAATTCCCAATGAATCTTTGAAGATCTATAGGCAATCTGCAGGTGGGAAAAAGCCTGCTGCAGTCTTGAAAAGGCCTGCGGCAGTCTTGAAAAGGCCTGCTGCAGTCTTGAAAAGGCCTGCTGCAATCTTGAAAAAGCGTGCTGCATGTGAAGCAGTACTTGGCACTTCTGAAGAAGAGGATGTTGAAGCTCGGCCGGCTGTTGCAGTGGCTGATCCTGAACCTGCTGCTGTTGACTTGGCATCTCCTGAATATCGCTTGGAAGATTATCCTGCCAAAGGCAGTCGAAAGTATGGTGCTTTAGGTGTCAGACGAAATTTTGGAGACAAGAAACAAATCAAATCTTTCACTTTGAACAAAACTTCAAGAGAAGTTGGCTTGGATTTGGCCCAGAAATGCATTGCTGATTTGCACAATGGTGCTACTGAACAATCTGTGATTGAATTTTTGAATGAGGAAATTCGAAAGTGGAAGGTTGGACAGGATGTGGATTAGATTGGATGAAATTGCAAAAAAAATGGCTGCTGATTTCTGTTGCATGTTTCAAGGAGGTGTAAAATCTCCTGAGAGTTCTCAATAGGAAAATAGGAAATAGTCTTTCCACTTTTCTGTCTTAAGGAGGTGCAAGATCTCCTGACATTTGGAACTTGAGAGTTTACTGCCTGGGTGGATTTCAAAAATGGCTTATAGACTTTCATAGGATGTGGCTTTAATGTTTAATGTTGGGTTGGAATTCTGGATTTGAGAAGTTTTGTCTGGAATTTGGAATGTTGAAATTGTTTGGCATGGCAATTGCAGTGTTGAGAATGGATTTTGCAACTGAAGCTGCTTTGGCTTTCTAGCTCCTGTTTCAGTGCTCGATATTTTTTCTTGCTGTTGCTATGGGAGCTGGACAATCAAGTTCCTCTCGCAGGAGGCCTGGAGATGAGGAGATTGACCGTGTTTTGGAGCTGATCAGGCTACAAAACCAGGTGATCCAGGCATTGACACCTCATGTCAATGCCCAATCGCAACCTTTACCACCTCCAAATACACCTCCTCCAGCTATTCCAGGTGCCCCTCCAAGTTCTCATGACCCTCCAGGTGCTTCTCCAATGCCCCTTCCAATGCCCCCTCCAAGTACCCCAGCGCCTGCCACCTCGCCTTCTACAAGCTACTTGAGAACATTTCCTGGATGAAGGAATGATCTACACAGGCTGGAGTTTTCTGTGACTGTGGATTTGAAAGCATCTCATGTCAACCATGCACTGTGCAATATGTTCATCATCATGCCTCCTGATCAGGTCCTGCTGTAACCCCATATTCTCCTACATCACCTATTGATGCTGGAGAGCAAGCCGAAAAATCAAAAGAGGATGAGGATTCAAATGTAGATTGAGTCAATTGAGCTTCCCTGGAAAAATGATTGGAGATTATGGGCGCAAGCGACTCTTTAAGGAGGTGCCAGATCTCCTTGATAAACTAAATTTAAATTTAAGTAAAACATGATATCTGTGATATGAGCATTTCTGCATGGCTGAAGCTGTCGAGTCATATTGATCAATGTAGTTGTGATGGACCTGTAGAATCATTTTTGAAGCCTTGATGGATGCACATGATCAGCTTTGGAATGATGATGAGAGCTGATGATCTGAACCTGAGGTATCACAATCATTGCACTAGTGTCCAATACTGGAATCAAAAAGGAGGTGCAAGATCTCCTTGGCCGAAGCTGATGCCCATCCATTTCCTTTGTTTGAGTGGCTCTTGGCAACTCTGGATACAATTCACTCAGGTCATGCATGATGACTGTAAAGGTTTCAAATTGGAAAAAGAAGGAGGTTAAAATTGGTTAAAATTAAAATTGCCAATTTTAATTTTAACCAGTTTATGTATTACTTTTAAAGGCAGGATAGGTTAAAATTAAAATTGGCAATTTTAATTTTAACCAATGTTAACCTCCAATAAAAATCACTTTGGATCCAAAATAGAAACCATCGGATTTGGAACTGGAGATTCATAGACATCACAACTTACTTCGTCATTACACTTTTCAGTTTTCAGTGAAAGGTTCAATGGAACCTCCAAAGGAACTGCCTCCATGGAGGAAGCAGCCACTGGCCACCATTGAGAAGAACCCTGTGGACCCAATGGACAAGCAGATCTCAGGCCAGGCTTTGGATGACAAGGGGGTCAGTAAGCCTTTGAAGGAGTTTCAGAATGTGTGCAACAGTCTGAATTCCTGCAAGAATGCCTGGGAGAAGGAGCTTGCCAAGGCCCAGGACCTGGCCTGTCGTTTGGAAATCAAAGGTGACCCAAGCTTCCATGCCAAAGGCAAAGGTCTTCAGACTTGGTGTCAAGAGCAGTTGAAAGCCATTGCCAACCTTCGATCCTATGTCGCAGCCAGTGAAGATCTTGCTCCTGAGGACACTTCTCCTGAAAGCCTTTCGAAATCATTGCCTGCTGCCAAAGCATGGCTTGCTTCCAGCCAAGAGAAGCTGCAAGAAGCAAAAGCCAAGGTGAAAACTCACCAGGCATTGCTGTAGGAGCTGTTTGGCCCTTAGATTTTGGAAAGCGCATTTGGTGCAGTTGTCAGTTTTGGAATGTGGAAATGCAGATTAAAATATCGCAGGGATCTGCTTGGAAGATGCGCAGCTGGTAAGTGTCGCTGGAAAAAGAGCCTGCTTCTAAGCTGGTGTACAAGACTCAAGGAGGTGTAAGATCTCCTTTACTGTTTCCCTGTTTCAAAGCATTGGCCAAATTTAGCATTAACTAAATACAATGTGTAACTTCTTGTCTTCTGAGATCTTATGAACTTTTATGTTGACATGTTTTTCCAGCTCAAGCCATGTTTCACAAGAGAAAGGTAGATTTGTCTACCCTTAGGGAACCTGACCAGAAGAGGTTTCGACACAATGTGTCCAATTTGTTTTTGACCAAGACTGTCTCTGCTAGAAGAGCCAATGAGCTCATGAAAGATGCACAAATAGCTGGAGCCGCTGGTGTGAAAGATTTGGTCAAAGGTGCAGAGAAATCTGGCAGTGGTGAGAAGCAAGCCAATTGGGAAAAGAATTTGGCAAGGGATATGAAAAGAAAAATGTTGAAGAACTGCCTGTGGTTCAATGAATACATTGCATTGATCCCTTGCTACAATCCTGAAACACAAGCAGAAGAGATGAAGAAGATACCTTTTCTTTTGCCACATGAGATTCATTTTGTCTTCTCGAAGCGCTCTGAGAAGAAAGACTTGCTGCAGACTGGTGGCATGTGTGAACTCAGCAAAAAACATTTGGCGAACATGCAAATGCAGTTCCAAGTTCGAGAAGCCATAGGACTTGGCCTTTGGATCGATGGCACACCTTACAATTATGACAGAAGTCAAACTTTGGAATACATCTCATTGAATTTTCCTGGCTTACTTCCACCTAATGGTACTTTGCGAATCCCTTTGTGCTGTATTCCAAAGCACTGGTGCATCAAGGGAGTAACTTTGTCGAAGATGTTAGGAATTTTGTCTTTGTCTTTTATTCACTTAGCCAATTGCACTTGGCCTTCAGCAAGGCATGATGGCAGCTTTTGGCACCCAGGCGACAAAAAACGAAGCACATTCAATGGCAAGGCATTGCCTTTCACTGCTTTTTTACTTGAAGTGAGAGGTGATTGGGCTATGAGAAAAGAAGTTTTCCAATTTCCTGGATGGCGAGACAAACAAGGATGCTGCCATTTGTGCTTGTGCAAACCAATTGAAATTCGAAACTTTAAAAGCTGCAAGGCATTTGATCCTTTGGACCATTTCACTTTGTTGCAATCCATTTCCAATTCTGGCATTGACATCAATGAATTGTTTCAAACACCAGGACTGACAAGCAAACAATTTCTTTTGGACTGGCTTCACATTGTGGACTTAGGCGTGGCAGCAGATTTTATGGGCAATGTTTTTCACCATTTAATTGCCTCTGGAAATCACTTGCCTGGCAACAATGTCAAAGAAAGGGTGAAAAGCTTGTTCCACAGAATTCAAAGCTACTACAAGACTGAAGGTGTGGAAAACAGGCTTCCTACTTTGACAGTCCTCATGATCAGAAAGAAAGCCAGTTCAAGTCCAAAACTTCGAGCCAAAGCTGCAGAAGCTCGAGGGTTGATTACTCTTGCAAAACAAATCTGCGATGAATTTTTGGCTGATGACAATGTGTTTGAATATACAATCAAGATGGCTGCCACAGAACTGTGGCAATGTTATTCTTTCTTGTCCAAGAATCTATGGAATCACCAGTCAATGCTGCTGCCTGGCAGAAAGTTTTTGCTGTTGTGCAAGAGCTTGGAAAACGAGACTGACCATACTTGGAAGATCAAACCAAAGCACCACAGCTTCTTAGATTTATTGCTCCAGAACTCTTGTCCATCAGACAGTTGGACATATCGAGACGAAGACTTTGGTGGCTTCCTAGCTCACTTAGGAGCTGTGAAAGGTGGAAGCCACAACCCTTATTCCATAGGCATGAGTGTTCTGCAAAGTTTTCGAGCACAAGTGATTCCAGAGCTGAAGTGAAAAGTTTTGCTGCCAGGATCTGGGATAAGGAGGTTTCAAGTCTCCTGCTGAAAGAGGTGCAAGATCTCCTTGCAATTGAAAATTTAAGGAGGAATTTTAAGGAGGAATTTTTCAAAAATTCCACCTTAATTTAAGGAGGAATTTTAAGGAGGAATTCCTTAAATAAGGAGGAATTCCTTAAATAAGGAGGAATGGAAGTTCTGGGAAAGTACATGGCTGTGTCTCCGCATGCCAACCAAAGTGCAGTCGTTCATTTGGAGAAAGCATAAATTTACCATCCAGTTAGTTGGCACTTTGTGCCCCATTTGAAATGCCTTCTCATATTACCTTGTCTGTTGATGGTTGGTTTCTTCTGTTTTTGATGTTGAAAATAGACGCTTTCGGTCGGTTTCTATTGTTCTGAAATAGAATATCAGCTAATCCGCTAAAAAAAAGATAGACGTTCATAGAACCCATGCATTTATTTGAAAATCGTTGATTCTATATGGACAATTTTTTGACAGATATATTCGCTATATCCATCCTTCCCTATTTCCCTGCAACAGTGACATCACAACCTACCGTTCTTGTCCCTTTTTGCCGTTCTAAGTCCCATGCTTTCTCTGACAAATTCCTATGAAGCTGCACAAAATCTCAAAAATCACCATAAACTGCCAGAAACTCACACTAAATCCCCATAAATCCCCTATAAAGCCCTTTAAATCCCTATAAACATATAAATCACCATGAAATCCTAGTAAATCACCATTAAATCCCCATTAAATCCCCATTAAATCCCACTTCTTCACTGGCTTTTCTGCCAGATCCTCCCTTGGGCCTGGAGACCTTGCAGAAGTTTCTGCACTTCGATGCCTCGGAAGTGCAGTTTTTCACTCAGCGCTGCCGTTGCCACCATGCTGATGTCATGGTGGTTTAATGTGGTTTCATAATGGTTTAAAACCACCATATATTGGGAATGACTGGTTTAATAAGCAATGGGGTGGTTTATGACCATATATTGCCAATATGGTTTTAATATGGTTTATTAAAGCATAACTGCTTGGTGGTGACTGGAACATGACTGGATGACATGACTTTCCATATATTGGGAATGTCATCATCCCAACTGATTTTCATATTTTTCCAGATGGTTAAAACCACCAACCAGTTTAATATGGTTCAATATGGTTTAATGATGTGTAATGGGATTTCAACAGTAGGATTTGTCAGAAACATGATGATTTCATGGAAATTCAGTGGGATTTCTTGGTTACATCATCCCTATATTCTTGTTTCCAACCCCATGTTATTCCCATCTAGATATGACCACACAATATTTTCCCACTAGAGATCATCAGTAACCAACCTTAATATCATGTGTATTTGTTTCATGGTTTTTGCTCAATCGATCTTTGCCATGTTGATTTTCTTTTGGTAATTGAACGATGATTTTGGATGGATCATGTCTTGAAACACGCCCATTATATTACCAGTATATTCAAGTGTTCTTCCCATTGCATTCATCTTTATTGCCATGATATTCCCATTAGATTCCCAGAACATCTGGAATATATTCCATTTGGAATGATATGATTATATTCCAATTATGTAGATTCCAATTATTCTCAATATATTGGGAATGATGATATTGCCATGATAATCCAATGATTATATTCCAAGTATATTCCCATTAATATTATATTCCCATCATTTTCCCATTATATTCGTATTTTATTCCCATGTTATTCCCATTTTATGCCGGTAAACTAACATAGCTATTGAAAATGGCTCATTTATAGTTAATTTACTTATCAAAGTGGTGATTTTCCATAGTTTTTTGTTTGTTTACCAGAGGGGTATATTCCCAGAACATCCCCATTCTTCTTGTTTTTGCCACTCACCTGGCGCCCGAGGCTCTTTCTGTCGGCCCTGAACAGCTCGGCGTCTTCCGGCTCCAGGCGGCCGTGCTTGGCAGCGGTGGATTGTGCCAAGGAGGGGCCCCTTGGCCGCGCAACGCGGGCCGCGTTGCGGAGGACAACTGCTGAAATTGTTTGGAAACCCCAATAAAGGGTTATACTTGGGGAATATTGGAACAAACTTGGGGACTAAGTGTGAAATGTAGGGATTGTTTTGATCAATTTTTTGGTGAAATTAGGGAAGATGGGAGACACTTTGGGAACCAAATGTGAAATCTTGGTAGGATGGGAGAAAGTTAGGGAAAATGTGGGAAGTTTGGAAGTTTTTGTGAGGAAGAAGTGTGTGTGGAAGATTTCACTAGAAACATGATTACCAGAGGAATATACCGGAAAATTTGGTTGCTTTTACTGGGAATGAATTTAAGTAGAAACATGCACGTATGTATCAACAAACACAGGGAAATGCTGATTGTACATTACTAGGAAGTTATTTTCTTTGGTGCATGTGTCAAAGACAAAGGGGATGTAGCCCACAACCATGGTGGTTAACCTTTTTGGTAGTGGGGAGGCACTGTTCATACTTCACCAACAAACTTGGCAATTTCACTGGTATTTTGTAAGAATTGTATTTTGGAACTATGTGTCAACACTATTTAACCATGTTGCCATGTGGTCGGTTAAAAAATAGTACTTTTGGCAATTTGGCAGTTCTGATTTTTCCAAAAGTAGTATACTGATCAGCAGCCACTGAAAACTTAACCAAAGAACGTAGACACATTGACAGCACATGATATGATATCACTTGAGAGATCGTTGCCTGAACATGTGAAACCAGTGGCTAGTAACTTGTGGATGTATTGGGCGTAACACTATGTCAATCTCAGAATTTTATTGTATCAATCTGGTTGCCTTTGAGAAGAATATGAAGTAAAGCATCGTAAGAATATCTTCATTTTCTTCGTATCATAGGCACGTACCATCTCCCTCTGAAAGACAATATTCCTACAAGGTGGTGCCCCCTAGATAGCTAAGTTGGTGCAAATAACTCCAATAACTATGTTTTTTGTTGGTGATATATCTATAGTTAATGGGATTATAAAGCAACAAACATAACTTGGGGGGCACCACCTTGTATCAGACAGCAGTCAAAACATGGAAGTTTTTGGTGCCAAGGTTTGCTCGGCTCTACCTGGGATTCTGGCAGCAACAGCTGCTGCCACTGAGACATCCTTGGTTCGTCAAACAGGAGGACACACGGTCAGTTCTATTTTGCTGCAGTTGGTACATGTTTGGTGTAAACACTGAATACTTTTGCACCTGGAGCATATGTGACTGTTGGAATTGGAAAGATCATAGAAGCAATTTCATTTCATTGTGGGGTAGTTTCAAACCATTTAAGGCTTGATGAATGCGTTTCAAAGACTACAAACGTATTTACCCTAGGGTTCTTCTATGGATACTATCCATCAACATGTCAGATAAAGAGAAAACACCATTTAGTAGTACCACCAACATCTTATGGTTTTTCTTGATATTTCATGTGGTTAAAACAACTTCATCAACTACCCATGACTGGGAATGGTAAGTTTATACCACCAAAAATTGCTGATGCCTGGGGGATGGTGCAGATGGCATTGCCTCGATCAGGAGGACGCACTGTCTGCAGTGAATCTGATCCTGCGGGAAGGGAATCAGGGGCAATTCCCCAAAGGCGCAGCGGAGACGTCCGCCTGCGGTGACTGGCTGCCAGGTTTTAGACGAAACCACTTGGTGGTGAAAACACCGTAATTTAGTGTGAATTAAGAAAGATATTTCAAGACACACCCATATGCTATCTGGGATCTCCATAATCTAGGTGTGATTTGAAGTAAGGTCTGCGAAAGTAAGTGGCAAATTTGGTGTATTGGCGGGCCGGAGCAGGGACTTTTGGAATGGTTTTGTTGAGTCATTGCAATGGATGAGGATATTCAACTACGCGTACGCGTACGGCATGTACCAAAAGATAGAGATACTTTGAAGACAAATGACATGAGAATTTCTTGGTTGATTGTTGATGGGCGGATTTTGGAGAGAGTTATTGAATCTATCAAACTGGGTCGCCAAGCAGATTAATTGACATGCCATCTTTCAAAGATTCGAAAGTCTACTAGTTTGTTATCATATTTTCAGAATTATGGTTGCTCCATTAATGTTCCTATCCACGTTTAGTTGACTTTCTCTATTTTCTTCTTGGCTCTACCAGGAGCACAAACAAAGAAACGGAACATCATTCACGGAAGATTCCGCCGTTCAACGTGGGGATTCTCCTAGCCAAGCCGCAGTTCTTTACCCGAAAAAAACACAATACAATCCGTATCCCCAGTTCAAAGTGGAAGGATCCCACTTTGAAAAAGATTACCCTCTGGTTATGACTAACAGTTCGCCATGGGATAGATGGCCCTAATCGAAATAGATGGTTTACCGTTCTTAAAAATGGGTGGATTTTCCATGGCTATGTTAAATAACCAGAGGGTATAGCAATCATCTATTTGGAATATCCCAAAAATTATCATCGAAAAATCATGAGGTTCCTTCGTTTCTCCAAGGCTATGCCATGACATTTGGGTTTGTCTGAAAATAGGGTTAATCTTCCCAATGAAATAGCCATTTAAAAACGGGATAATGATCAGCAAAACCATTGGGTTTTTGGGGGTACACAACATTTTCAGACACACCCAGATGGCAAACCATCAGTATATCCCCTATAAATCCCCATAAATCACCATTTATAGTGGTTAAATCACCATTAAATCACCATTAATCATGGATTAATCCACATTTCCCATGATCTTCCCATGACATTTCCGCAGGTCAGGAGCACATCTTGGAGCGCGTCCAGGTGGCCCACTTTCTCTCGAAAGTCCAGAGGTCGGAGTTCATGGAGAATTTTACGTGGAATTTAAAGGAATGCTTAGGGAAACATAGGGGAACCAATTTGGTTAGGGTATGTTGATATAATGTAATACAAATTTGATCTTTTTGGTTTCAGTAGTTGGATTTTTTGATATACAAATGTGATGTTTTGGCATTTTTCCGACATAGTATATCAGCTGATACTCGATATTAAATATGTGGTTGGTATATGTGTCATGTAATGTTAATCCAAATATCCAAAGAACAGCAAATACCCTCCGGTAAACTAACATAGTTATTGAAAAATCACCATGAATCATATAGGTAAGTCAACTATTTCTATGTGCCATGGTATCAATAGCCATGTTGATGATGGAGACCATGACCATTTGGTGCCATGGGCCATGATGTAATGAACAAAAGCGCGGTTGGATATGATGTTGTTTGAGGATGCCGTTTGGTTACTGAGTTTGACATAGTAAACCAAACGCTATGCTGCTATGTTCATTGAACACCGTGGAGTTTCTATGATTTCCAACTGGGTTAGCCATTCAAATATCGGAATCATGGGTTTGTTTCAAAAATCTGGTGCCATCCAACCATGACCTTGGGGGGGCACCTTCAGTAATTTCTTGTGCTAAATGCAGAAGGTTGGGATGAACGGCGTTTAATGGGTGACACCTGGAACCCCAAAATGGATGTGGAATATGATTGTCTTATTTCAACAAGCCATGTCTATCCATAGATCTTTCTTGTCTTTTTTAGGGCTGTAATTACTGTCATGATATTCAGAAGATAGCAAGCTATATCACTTGGGATGTTCTTGTGAACCATATCCAGTCGGGGTCTAATTATAAGGCATTGGTCCAAACATATTCCCCTTGTTTGCACCACCACAACAACAACAACAACAGCAGCAGCAGCAGCGGCAGCAACAGGAACAACCATATTTTTCGACATCTTTGGAAATTATTCCAGTCCTTTAAAGAAATCCCAGGGCCATGTGTCAGCCATGGCTAAATGGCTAAATGAACGGAGCGGTTGCAAAGCTCATTTCGCAGCTAAAAAACGACAAGACGGTCGACGCTGGTTCAAGGTGGCATGGCGTACACGAAATCTACGAGACGTGGTAGCACAATCCCTATCCAAGGCAATTCATCACCGTCGCCATCAGAAAGTTCCGGAGGACACCATACATGCAGGACTAAACCTGATGAATGTGCCTGGTTAGGCTGGAGAGAAGCTAACGGAACATGGGTGTTGTACTCCATGCGTGGAGATCCAACGGCCTCTACGGGCAACGAGGACGTTCCATTCGGTGTTGATACTGTGAAGCATCCATGTAGAGACTGAGCCTGCCCACCTAACAACCCCAACCTGGGTAGTGGTGGCACCCCAAAATGCAGTCGAAGAACAGTGGCAGCCCCGCCTTCACCAGTTCCCCATGTTCCGGATTGGTCTTAGTTGCAGCCCGCGTTTTGTTGATGATATCCCAGATTATTCAATCAACAAAAAATGGGGAACTATCCCACACAAATCGGAGTTTACCATGCGTTTTTGTTCTTGGTTAATCTTGGACGGGTACTTTGGTACGAATGTGGTACCCCCCAATCTCAACTAACGGTTTATCAGTATATTTCCAGTCAAAACCAGCTGCCATTGTATGGGATATGGGTATGCTTATTATAGATACACCCATTTACTGATCATCAAAAAAACATGTCTAGTATATTTACATAACAACAATCCGTAAGAACAGACAGTAGCATTTTATTTCAGATATTCATGTACCATCAATGAGAATGCACACTACTGAGCGGAAAAAAAAACATGCAATCTGTTTAGAATTGGAGCCCAGGTTCGTTCATTACCCTTCAATTTTGATTCTCATCATGTGTTTTCTTATCACCATGATTCTTTAGCGAGATCAATGGACTTTCCCACTTTCAATTCAGCCAGATCAATCGATCTGGGTAAATTGTAACGGTTTCACGATTGGTCAACTGGAGAGCTGGTTAGAATTGGCGTAATCATCCCAAAAATGTGCCAACATGTCAAATTCAGCTTTGTGAAGTATTAAAATTTACCCCCTGCAATAAAACGTGGTTATGGGAAATAGAATGGGCTAGCGCCCTGGTGCCGCCGACCCCCCTATTTGGGGGGTCCTAAAGAGAGAGGGAGAGAGAGAGAGAGAGAGAGAGAAGGGGCATGTAGCTGTAACAGTTGTTGCCTTGGAGGCCTGCGGAAGCGTTTGGGGGGTTTGAGGCCGGGCAAACGGCAGTCTTGAACCCCCTGAAAAACAGATGGCAGGGGCATGTAGCTGTAAAAGTTGTTGCCTTGGAGGCCTACGGAAGCGTTTGGGGGGTTTGAGGCCGGGCAAACGGCAGTCTTGAACCCCCTGAAAAACAGATGGCAGGGGCATGTAGTAGCTGTAAGAGTTGTTGCCTTGGAGGCCTGCGGGAGGGTTGGAAGCGTTTGGGGGGTTTGAGGGCGGGCAAACGGCAGTCTTGAACCCCCTGAAAACCAGATGGCAGGGACATGTAGCTGTAAGAGTTGTTGCCTTGGAGGCCTGCAGGAGGGTTGGAAGCGTTTGGGGGGTTTGAGGGCGGGCAAACGGCAGTCTTGAACCCCCTGAAAAAAAGATGGCAGGGGCATGTAGCTGTAAGAGTTGTTGCCTTGGAGGCCTGCGGGAGGGTTGGAAGCGTTTGGGGGGTTTGAGGGCGGGCAAACGGCAGTCTTGAACCCCCTGAAAAACAGATGGCAGGGGCATGTAGCTGTAAGAGTTGTTGCCTTGGAGGCCTGCGGGAGGGCTGGAAGCGTTTGGAGGGGTTGAGGCCGGGCAAACGGCAGTCTTGAACCCCCTGAAAAACAGATGGCAGGGGCATGTAGCTGAAAGTTGTTGCCTTGGAGGCTGCGGAAGCGTTTGGGGGTTTGAGGGCCGGGCAAACGGAGTCTTGAACCCCCTGAAAAACAGATGGCAGGGGCATGTAGCTGTAAGAGTTGTTGCCTTGGAGGCCTGCGGAAGGGTTGGAAGCGTTTGGGGGGTGTGAGGGCGGGCAAACGGCAGAACCCCCTGAAAAACAGATGGCAGGGCATGTAGTAGCTGTAAGAGTTGTTGCCTTGGAGGCCTGCGGAAGCGTTTGGGGGGTTGGGGGGGTTTGAGGGCGGGCAAACGGCAGGCTTGAACCCCCTGAAAAACAGATGGCAGGGGCATGTAGCTGTAAGAGTTGTTGCCTTGGAGGCCTGCGGAAGGGTTTGGGGGGTTTGAGGCCGGGCAAACGGCAGCCTTGAACCCCCTGAAAAACAGATGGCAGGGGCCTGGCAGGGGCATGTAGCTGTAAGAGTTGTTGCCTTGGAGGCCTGCGGAAGGGTTTGGAGGGTTTGACGCCGGGCAAACGGCAGTCTTGAACCCCCTGAAAACAGATGGCAGGGGCATGTAGCTGTAAGAGTTGTTGCCTTGGAGGCCTGCGGAAGGGTTTGGAGCGTTTGGGGGGTTTGTGATGGCGGTCAAACGGCAGTCCTTGACCCCCTGAAAACAGATGGCGGGCATGTAAGCTGTAAGAGTTGTTGCCTGGAGGCCTGCGGAATCGTTTTGGGGGGGTTTGAGGGCGGGCAAACGGCAGTCTTGAACCCCCTGAAAAACAGATGGCAGGGGCATGTAGCTGTAAGAGTTGTTGCCTTGGAGGCCTGCGGAAGGGTTGGAACCGTTTGGGGGGTTTGAGGGCGGGCAAACGGCAGTCTTGAACCTCCTGAAAAACAGATGGCAGAGGCATGTAGCTGTAAGAGTTGTTGCCTTGGAGGCGGAGGCCTGCGGAAGCGTTTGGGGGGTTTGAGGGCGGGCAAACGGCAGTCTTGAACCCCCTGAAAAACAGATGGCAGGGGCATGTAGCTGTAAGAGTTGTTGCCTTGGAGGCCTGCGGAGGGTTTGGAGGGCTTGAGGCCGGGCAAACGGCAGTCTTGAACCACCTGAAAAACAGATGGCAGGGGCATGTAGCTGTAAGAGTTGTTGCCTTGGAGGCCTGCGGAAGCGTCGGAAGCGTCTGGGGGGTTTGAGGCCGGGCAAACGGCAGTCTTGAACCCCCTGAAAAACAGATGGCAGGGGCATGTAGCTGTAAGAGTTGTTGCCTTGGAGGCCTGTGGAAGCGTTTGGAGGGTTTGAGGCCGGGCAAACGGCAGTCTTGAACCTCCTGAAAAACAGATGGCAGGGGCATGTAGCTGTGAAGAGTTGTTGCCTTGGAGGCCTGCGGAAGCGTTTGGGGGGTTTGACGCCGGGCAAACGGCAGTCTTGAACCCCTTAAAAAACAGATGGCAGGGGCATGTAGCTGTAAGAGTTGTTGCCTTGGAGGCCTGCGGAAGCGTCGGAAGCGTTTGGGGGGTTTGAGGCCGGGCAAACGGCAGTCTTGAACCCCCTGAAAAACAGATGGCAGGGGCATGTAGCTGTAAGAGTTGTTGCCTTGGAGGCCTGCGGGAGGGTTGGAAGCGTTTGGGGGGTTTGAGGCCGGGCAAACGGCAGTCTTGAAACCCGCCTGAAAAAACAGATGGCAGGGGCATGTAAGCTTGTAAGAGTTTGTTTGCCTTGGAGGCCCTCGGAGGGTTGGAAGCGTTTGGGGGGGTTTGAGGACCCCCGTAGAAAAACAGATGGAAGGGGCAATGTAGCTGTAAGAGTTGTTGCCTTGGAGGCCTGCGGAAGCGTTTGGAGGGTTTGAGGGCGGGCAAACGGCAGTCTTGAACCCCCTGAAAAACAGATGGCAGGGGCATGTAGCTGTAAGAGTTGTTGCCTTGGAGGCCTGCGGGAGCGTTGGAAGCGTTTGGGGGGTTTGAGGGCGGGCAAACGGCAGTCTTGAACCCCCTGAACAACAGATGGCAGGGGCATGTAGCTGTAAGAGTTGTTGCCTTGGAGGCCTGCGGGAGCGTTGGAAGCGTTTGGGGGGTTTGAGGGCGGGCAAACGGCAGTCTTGAACCCCCTGAAAAACAGATGGCAGGGGCTTGTAGCTGTAAAGAGTTTGTTGCCTTGGAGGCCTGCGGAAGCGTTTGGGGGGTTTGAGGGCGGGCCACAACGGCATTCTTGACCCCCTGAACAACAGATGGCAGGGGCATGTAGTGTAAGAGTTGTTGCCTTGGAGGCCTGCGGGAGGGTTGGAAGCGTTTGGGGGGGTTGAGGCCGGGCAAACGGCAGTCTTGAACCCCCTGAAAAACAGATGGCAGGGGCATGTAGCTGTAAGAGTTGTTGCCTTGGAGGCCTGCGGGAGGGTTGGAAGCGTTTGGGGGGTTTGAGGGCGGGCAAACGGCAGTCTTGAACCCCCTAAAAAACAGATAGCAGGGGCATGTAGTAGCTGTAAGAGTTGTTGCCTTGGAGGCCTGCGGGAGGGGTGGAAGCGTTTGGGGGAGGGCGGGCAAACGGCAGTCTTGAACCCCCTGAAAAACAGATGGCAGGGGCATGTAGTAGCTGTAAGAGTTGTTGCCTTGGAGGCCTGCGGAAGCGTTTGGAGGGTTTGAGGCCGGGCAAACGGCAGTCTTGAACCCCCTGAAAAACAGATGGCAGGGGCATGTAGCTGTAAGAGTTGTTGCCTTGGAGGCCTGCGGGAGCGTTGGACATGTAGCTGTAAGAGTTGTTGCCTTGGAGGCCTGCGAGAGCGTTGGAAGCGTTTGGAGAGTTTGAGGGCGGGCAAACGGCAGTCTTGAACCCCCTGAAAAACAGATGGCAGGGGCATGTAGCTGTAAGAGTTGTTGCCTTGGAGGCCTGCGGAAGCGTTTGGAGGGTTTGAGGCCGGGCAAACGGCAGTCTTGAACGCCCTAAAAAACAGATGGCAGGGGCATGTAGGTGTAAGAGTTCGGCAGGAGCATGTAGATGGCTGGGGCATGTAGCTGACAGAGGTGTTGCCTTGATGGCGTGTGCCTTTGCTTGCGACCCGAGAGCCAAGTTCCACACCTCCGGTGGTCCCAGGCGCCGCCCCTGCCTTGGCAAAGGCCGGGGTTGGCGGATTCCCCATTTACAAATGTTTGTTTCCCATTCTTACCTCCTTTTTTAATGCATTTTCCATCGTCAGGTTTGATTCCGGGAGGGTAGACCCAATGGCTCCAGGCGTTTCGAGGAGCCCACCCTTCAGTGGCCGCGTTCAACGGGGCAGCGCCGCTGTTTGGACGCTTGCTGCGCGATTTGACCAGCGAACATGGTGAATTTTATGGTGTTCTAAGCATTAAAAATGGCGATCTAATGGGACTTAATATGGGATTTAAAGGGTTTCCTAAGTCATGGGTGAAGAAATATGAAGGATTAAAAAGGATACACAGATGAAGCAGGAGTGGATGTATTTACATGCCATGAGGAGGTTTTTTGAGGATTAAACATGATCAAACATGATTAATCGTCCATACTGGGATGTCATTATAATAAAATCAGCGGATAGTGATGGGATAGAAACAGTCAACAAGGTGTGAGCTTGCCTAGATAAAACAATTTTTATAGAACACATCTTAGAATTTCTCAACATATCATAACAGTTATAACTTATTATAACATATCAAAAACACGAAACAGCAGAGACAACAAACGGTGGATCTTTTGCTTATCCAGAGACGCCGAGAATCCCATCGGAATCCATTGGATTTGAAAAAAACACAACGGTACCCGTGGATTTGGCCTGGTAAACCTACAAAAAACGATGGAAAGATCCACCATTTTTAATGGTAAATCAGCTGTAAATGGGCCATTTTCCATAGCTATGTTAGTTTACCAGAGGGTAATTGATTGTGTTGAACCACTCCAAGCACTTTGGTCTGATAGAATCTTGCAACTTCCAGGGTAATTGGGACATATTGGGACACATATTTGTAGTGCCACTAGTCTGACGCACATGCTGCACATATTGTTGGGACAAATCCCCAATAGATCGGGATTCCTAAAAGGTTTTGTTGTAAAACTGAAGCACCAGAACTGGGTAATGCTTCCACGACGTCACCTTGATGTTACCGAAGATGATGTTTAGTTAGGAAAGTCATCGCAAATTCATCGAATCAATGATGCTGGTGATTTTTTACGTTCGGTTTCGATGATTGTTATTAATTATATCCCATAGGATCCATGGTGCTGCTATACATGGTAACATGGATCCCATCAATATACCCCAAATGTTAGCATATATGCCATACATGGATCCTATGGGTATTTCATCAGTTGTTATCATCATTCTTATTGTTATCAGATTGATTGTTCAGCCAGATCAGTGATATTGACTAATGTTTCCAGATGACAATTATGACGTCTTGCAGAAATATGGTTGCATGATTTTTGTTGTTATTACCCTCTGGTAAACTAACATAGCTATTGAAAATGGCCCAGTCGAAATAGTGGATTTTCCCAATCTTGCCCTGGTTTCTCCATGGATTTTTGTGGATTCATCCTGGCCGCCTGGCCAGGAATGGGACTCCGGTGGCTATTCCCGCCACTTCTTTGCCAGCTTCTGTCAGGTCAGCTGGTTCGAGTTTAGCCCAGCACTTTAAAGGAATACAATGGGCATATCATGGGAATGTGATCTTCAAGAAATGGGGGTTGATCTCCACGAATGTTTTTGGGGATTTCATAAGTATTTCATGGAAACATCATTTACAAAAGGGTGATAGAGCGGGGTGCAGAACCAACTAGTTATATTCATTTGATCATTTGGGTCTGATTGAAAATAGGCTACAGCATACGTCATCCCATCTCCCTCGAGATGTCTTCCAATGGCCAGCTTGGAGTTTCCCGGAACAGATGTGCTCAAACACCACCATTGTCGGCTTTATACCAATGATATTCAATTCTACCATCATGGTTGGTTTAATCACAAAAGTATATCCAGTTCATTCCAGTTCCAGGTTTGGCTTACATCGTCACAGATTGTACCCTCTGGTAAACGTTTACATAACTATGGAAAATCACATTTTTTCATGGGAAAACTCACTATTTCTATGGCCATGTTCAATAGCTATGTTAGATAAATTACCAGTATAGTTAACTATTAATTAACCATTAACCATAGATGATCCATATATTAACCATAGATTATCCATGTTAAATTACTAGAGGGTAAGATCCATAGGTATACCATCTCCCATTATCTCACCGTCGCCAGGTGATTGACGTTCTGACCTACAAGGGCGATGGGGTGGCGGAGAAACGCCACAATGAGAATGGCAAGATCGATTACTTTGTGGCTCGGGCAACGTTTAATGGTGATTTTATGGGATTTTATGGTTATTTCATGGTATTTAATGGTACTTTTATGGGATTAATGGTGATTTAATGCGATTGAAGAGTGATTTCATGGGATTTTATGGTGATTTAATGGGAATTAATATAATTAATGAGGCTTTATGGTGATTTCATGGGATTGAACTGAATTTTATGGTGATTTTATGTGATTTTTGTTTAAAGGAGCTAATGATATCTAATGGGAATTTCTGGTGGCTTAATGGAAGTGGTGGTTCAATTGGATTTTCTACATGGTGATATAATGGGATTTAATTTGGTTTTATGCTGATTAAATGGAGTTTACTTGGATTTTTATGGTGAATCTAGGTCATAATGTTAATCGGAATTGATGCTGGTTTCAGCCGTGTTCGTGGTTGGTTTGTGAGGCCTGTGCAGGAAGGCCATCCTTAATTATCTCAAGTGTGTTTCTTTATTTTCAGGGATGCATGTTGGTTCTTACACATTGTGGTTGGTTATGAATGCTTGATTTATATATGTGTAGATTATATTTGATCATAAAGTTGTTTTTCTTGTTACAAAATCATATCAATTTGCGATTGAAATAGCTAGTTGCTAACCGTCATATAGGTAGATTTACTTTAGATTTGATTAGATCAGATCATGTAGAACAGAAACTATGCGGTGCGTACCTGGCTAGATAGATTAGATAGATTGGATAGATTGATAGATTTGATGGATTAGACTGATTTGACAGGTTGCACGGATTAGATAGATAGTTGGAAACTAGATAGATAGAAAAATAGATATTGATAGATAGTCGTATAGGCTTCTGGTTGGTGGTTTCAAACATTCTTTATTTTCCATTTCATATATGGGATGTCGTCCTTCCCATGGACGAACTCCATCATTTTTCAAGATGGTTATTGCACCACCAACCAGGTTATATATTAACCATTATTAGCCATTATTAACAGTATATAATAACCATATATTCATCATTAACAGTATAATAACCACATATAATAGCCATATATTATGATGATTTACCATATCTTATCATCCATATTACTATATCTTATTATGATTTTTTTTATCTTGAAGATTTACTATGATATTGCTATATATTTACCATATCTTACCATTTATTATGAAGACTTTTTCATGGCCCATTTTTTGCGGCTGAAACGGTCAGTCAACGGGAACTCAGGTGGACATTCATATCGCCCACGAGGTCCGGATCGGTCGTGGGGAACGGTTGGTTTATGTCATGGGATGGGATGGTGGTTTTTGTTACGCCTGGTTGGTTGGTGAAAATAGTGATATAATTAATAGTGATATTAATAGGGTTATGATGGTTAATGCTGGTTTTCATAGTGGTTTTCACAGTGGTTTTCATAGTGGTTTTCATAGTGGTTTTCATAGGCTATAAACCAACAACAATGGGAATATGATGGTGATTTATCTACGTAAACCAACCAGTAGGTGTATTATCTGGTTGGTGGTTTGTAACAAGACTGGATTATGTCTTTCCATATATTGGGAATGTCATAATCCCAACTGACAAACGAATATATATTTTTCAGAGGGGGTGTTTTACCAACCAGTAGCTAATGGGATTTTCACCAATCATAACTGGTGATTTACAGGTGATTATCAGATTATCCCATGAAATCTATAGTTTGATAGGATATTTCACTAGCCATAAATGGCGGTTTACGATGATTTATGAAGAATATAGTGGGAATACAATGGTATATAACAAAAAAAATAGGGTTACCTTCCGGCAATCAAACGTGGCTGGGACAAAAACATCAACATACTGCGATGTCAATGGAGCACTGTTCAAAAGCACCATTGGTTGATGACCAATTTGGGGATTTCACTATTCAACATATTGGGGATTACCTTTTGGTAATTTGTTACATAGCTATTGAAAATGGCACATAGGAATAATTGATTTCCCTATATGAATCATTGTGATTTTAAGTAGCAAAATGTTACAGTAGTTTACCAGAGGGTATCACAATGGATCATCTTGTTGTCCCCACCTGTGATACCGGTCATGATCATCACGTCATCGGATGCGGAGATCGCATCCTCAGTGCACCAATCGATTGTGGATGTCTGATGTTTTTTTTCCGCTAGCATGCTTAGACCCTCCAAGTACCCATGAACATTTATGTAAATAAATAAATATATATAGTGACGGACAATCACTTAGAACGTATTTTTTTCCAATTTTTTTTCGTACTTAGAACGTAGCAAAATTTCATCACTTAGAACGTAGGGAAAATTCATCACTTAGAACGTCAAAATATCACTTAGGCCCATTTATCACTTAGAACGTAAACCAACACTTAGAACGTGCTAAGTGATTGTCCGCCACTATAATTATGAACAATTACCATATGATATGTATATATACTTGTATATATATAAATACATACATTATAAATGTATATAATATAAATACTTCTACAATCCAAAACCTTCGAGAAAATCGATGAGGTACCCACCGTTTCAAATCAACTGTGATGAAGTGCGTCACCAATACATGTCTATTTGGTCCCTGAGTGGCTTCGCTGAGTGCGGCAACATGATTTCACAAGCCTTTCCACTATCATCAGTGACCTAGACACGTTCTAAGTGTTAAATCCCCGGTACGTTCTAAGTGATGAATCTTGATATTTGGACGTTCTAAGTGTATGGTTTTCGACGTTCTAAGTGCAAGGCTTAGAACGTAAAAAAAAAAAACAGTAATATTCAGATTTTTTTTCCAAAATACGTAGTAAGTGATTGTCCGTCACTATATATATATATATCTTTATTTAAAAGTCCCAACCTTTTGGATATATCACCCCATCTTCCTAGGTACTCGTACTTGGAGTGTGTAGGTAGTCATTCCGAAATATATTAACAGTTGCATGTCGGATGAAGGCAAGACAGTATTGCAATATCCAGGTAGCTTTCAGAGAATAAGTTTCAATGTTTGAACAAAAAAAATCTATCTTTGGAGGATTCTTCAATTACAAGATGATAATCCATAGTAAATCAACCATCAATATGTTTTTATTATATCATGGACATGTTAATACATCTGGATATAATCCCATGACGACAAATTTGGGATGATTTCCTTTTTCGGGGAGCGTTCCTTTGTCACCATCTACCCACTGATGGTGCCGCAATCGGCAATCAAAGCTGGCAAGCTGGGAACTCCGAATAGATGAATAGGAGAACCATCCATAGATAGATAGTTCATGATATTAAAAACTGGAATATCACTATTCATAGATGATCTGCATAAAACAGAACATCTATACGAAAAATCATGATGGTTCAAAGAAAATTTGCCATCATGTTCCTACATTTTCCCAATACATGCTGGTTTATAGTTTATTCTTTCTCACATGTTCCAAGGACTTTTCACCTAGCCATGTTGGTCCACCGTTTCGCTATGGTACCGGCGCCAGGTGGTGCCGGAGAATTCCACGTCTCTCGTGCTTTGCGCTCAGGCCGGGCCGGTTGGTTGAACTCGGGCCCGGGGACGGTAATTCCCAGATGCTCCATGTAAAGAATATTTACCTACATTTGGGGGAAAAAATTGGGGTAAATGTAGCTACATATTCCAGCACCATGGAGCTGGTAATTCAACATAGCTATGAAACATCATTTTTTTTGGTGGGGTAAATGAGCTGTAAATGGCCATGTTCCACGGCTACGCTCTGTTTGACAATCCCATGTGGGTCATGTTTTGCTAAGGACATCCGGGGTTATAACATGTTATAACCCAGTATACCCCGGCTGCAAGTGTTTGAAACTAGCACCTCACACATGATTTAAATGATCATCTACCTCTTGTCAGCCAAGACAAAATTGTCACATCGTCACTGGTACCCTTGGATGAAACCAAGTTCCAAGTGACTAGTTGAAACCCGACTGATCTCCTGCGAAATCTCCGGACTCATCAACCATGCCTATCGTTTCCCCATAATTTCAACGGCTAAATTTCAATGGCTTGGTTTAATGGAAAATCTACAGGAAACCTCAGATTTTACAATATTTTACAATTAAATATATATGGGCCTACCAGTCCATTGAACATGTTCATCTCCATTTCGGGTCATCCATTTGGGTAAATTCTAACGACCTCACTGTTCTCCCCAACCCTGGAATCATGGTTTTTATAGGGGAATCATCCCCAAATGGCCGAACTATTCAGCACAGGTTCGTCCTTGCACATGCGGGGGACGGGCCGCGGAGCGCAAGTGGGTGGCCGAACTATTCAGGTTAGTGAAATCTTAACCGGAAACCATAGATCTTACCATTCAATATGGGGCTGTAATTTTTCCCGAACAAACCAATCCATGATGTTCATCTCCGGGTCATCCATCTCCATTTCAGCGTGTCAGGTCTTTGAGCATTTGCACCAGCCCTTCATCGCCATGCAGCAGATCCATCGCTTGTTGGCACCTGGTGGGTTTCTCTGGCTCCGTATCTCACGGTTTTCGGGGACCTTATGGACCTGGTTCTCCCTGGTTTTTCTGCTGGAAAATCCCGGAACTCAATGGAGGTGTCCATTTTGGGGGGTACCCTAATAGATGGATGGTTTATTTCATGGAAAAATGGAAAAAAAACTATTAAAATATGGATGATAACTAGGGGTATATATTTCATGGACACATCCGAAAATAAAATGGATGATAACTAGGGGTACCCCCATGACTCAGGAAAGGACAAAAAATGATACTGGAGGTCAGTACAGCTGGGGACATGCTGTGACACATTTGTTTGGTGGTCACCAAAAACGTATCCAAATATTCATGAACTTGAATTGCTCCATGTGTACGTTGGGCACAATTATTTGAAAGCCCTAAGCTTCAGAGAGCTTGGCGAAAGTGCTGAATGTTTGGCAGTTGTATCCACCATTGCTTGGTTCTATCCCCAAAACAACTGAACTTTCAGTAGGATAGCAACAGACTGCACCGAAGGTAAATGTCTCGCGTTTTCATGCTCAGATCCCATGTTGGTACATGTTTCATGGTTCAACGCATGTAAATCTTGACTTTTAGTTGCATATGTAGAGTCCCAACATTTCATGCCTTAATTTATGACATGTATAATATGTATATATATATTTTGCATATCTGGACACAGTTCCATGTACACATTATATGCAGATGATATATGATATAGAGTTTATCTGAACATAATTTCAGTGGCCATACTTTGCCCAGATGTACAGATCATGGCAAATGTTTGATATTCTTCTGATAAATACACTAACCGCCCGAGCCATGGGAAACCCATGCGCCGTCGCCGTTTCCCTCAGGTTCTTGGCCTTCACTGTGCCGCTGTTCAGTGAGATCCATGGGGCTCCGCAGGCGTTGTGAACGGTTGAGCGGTGTTCAACTAGACACATTGTATATCTATACAAGGTGGGCACCCCAGTTATGTATGTTGGTTTTTAAACCCTATTAAGATCTATTAAGCATAGTCATCATCCTAAATTCTAGTTATACTAGTTCTAAACCAACGTATATAGCTAACTCTCGGGCCCCGGCTTGTAACATTGTATGGGGGTTCTTGATATGGGAGGTGGTTTGCTCAGCAGCTAGTATTCCGACAATTGTGGACTCCCAAAATGGATGGTCGAACAATGAAGAATTACCAATAGACCCAATGGCATCCAATGGCTGTAAAGGGTGATACATACAGAAATATGTATATATATATATACACATGGATAGACATGGGATATATGGTGGTCTAACCCATGAAAATGGGAGGTGAACTGCCCATGGCCGACAGGACTACTGGCGCTACACGCCATCGGGCGCCAATCAACTGGCCATGTCGGCTGGCTTGGAGGCTGCGGCAGGAAAATCCATGGAAAACTCATGAAAAATCTGGGAAACCCATGGAAAATCTCTAGAACATGGGTGAGAATCCTTAATTTTATGGAAGGATTGGGATTTAAATGGGTATAAGACCAAACATTTGTGTTCTTTGTTAATACAAGGTGGCGCCCAAATACAATCTGGTTGATAAACCCATCTAACCACAGAATATTTATACAATGAACCACAAGTGGATGGATTTATATATAGAATGGATCGTTAAACCATAATAAACCCTATGTTAGAATATGTCTAACTATAGATGGAGCTATATAAACAAACTGACCCATCTATATATCGGGCCCCCAGCGTTTCGGAACATGCGCAGGTCCTCGAGCTCTACGCCCCTGGCTCCTTGCGTGAAACGGTCGGTGCTTGGGCGAGAAATTTATCACCGATGTGGGGGAGGGGATGTGCAGCCAAGGATTTGAGGCTTTCCATAGCCACGGGGATACCCGAGAAAAATAGAAAATGTATGGTTTATTTCAGGGAAAATCCCAAACAAAAATGGATAACTAGGGGTACCCCATGACTTTGGAAACCTCCATTTGGACATTTGACCCTGGGCAAGATGGGCATTTTGGGGTTCCAATGAACTTATTGGATATCAAAAAGCATACTTATAGGGGCCCCATACCCGAGCCTTGTAAATATTATTTTGACCCATACAGCAGCTGGGGTCATTCCCCAGGGGTAGAACCACTTAGAATCATTGAAACATACAATAATTTCGCATTATTTTGTATAAAAACGTTTCAAATAGTTGACAAATAGTTTCCAGGTCTTACCCCCCAACAGAACATGCCAAATAAACCGTACCCACTAAGGTAGAACCTTGGTCATAACCCACATGAATGTTCACCACCCCATTGAGGGATTAAGACAAAAACTTGCAATTTCTGGGATCGGTGCCGAATCTTGACTGAAAACCATGCAGATATGAAAAAAATACGGTGAAAATCGAAAGAAAAAACTCTTGATATATGTATCTATGTAATTTTATAGAAATAGTTTTTTCTAGTTTTTCTATATAGGAAAAAACACCATTGTGTGGCTGACCCTCCAATACTCCAATACTTATTGCAGGGGTCAGCCACACAATTTGAACATGAATTGACATGAGCTTGCCAACACGGGAAAGAAACCCATGAACATGAATCAGATATTGAACAACAATCAAAGGAGAGCTCATGCAATGCATAAACCAAGAAGAGGTTGACAGTCTGTAATGCATGTGAAATTGAGGTTTCAGAACCCTTTGAACATGGGAGATATGATCAAGAATCCATGCGGAAATGTGGATTTCAAAATCAAAAGTTCTTGGGTAAAGCCATTTGGGGGCAATTCGTTGAGTTGGTGTCAAATTGGAGGAGTTGTTTCCGGTCGATCTTTCCGGTCTTAGCACATCCCAGCGGTGCATTTACCATGCCAGGATTCACTGAAAATCCTCAGGTGGTTTCCCCCACAAGAATCACTTGGAACATCATTGTGTTCTTTCTAACATGCCCTTGGGTACTGGTGTATGGAGATGAAACACGCTAATTACGTGCAGAGTGATGTAAGTTGGAATCAGAGATGTCTCAGGACACATGTGCTCAAGAGCACTGTATACTCAGTGCCAGTCGCCGATCCTGCCACAACATGGAGATGGGCGCCTCCCATTCCCAGATTCGGATGCAGGCAGCCGTGGCTATGTTGGATGGCCCCAAAGCCGATGAACAGGAAGGCATCCCTGTTGGCGAAGACCACAGAGTCTGGTTTTGGAGAAAGCCTTGGCGTGATCATGAAGATGCTTGAAAATGAGTTTGCTCCGCCAGTTGCGCTTGACCCGCAGGTCATGTGCCTGGATTATCTGTGATGATCCCGCAGCTCGCGGCCTGTAATGAGGCAATTGAGGAACTGGTTTCTGAGGAGCTCGGCCCTGAAATCTCGTATGTATACACAATGTGCAAGTAAATTTTATACTTAAAATGTATGTTCATATTATATATAGGTATAAGTAAATACACACGTAGACATGGAGTACATGCCCATAAGATCCCCAGCAACAAGGGGGGTTCCAACCAATGATGACTGCCACAGATCCCCAGCACATTTCAGCATCCTGATCAGCTCAGGACACATGTTGGGCATGACCAAGCCTTATTGGCAGGAGGAGTGCGGGAGGGAAAACCAAAGGGGTTTGAATGTGGATTTATAGATCGAATGATCGAGATATAGTGGGATAGATACCAGGAACTTGGTAGAATATTTGGGTGTGTCGGAGATATTTACTTCAAACATTTTGCCATGTTAACAGGAAAGCATTCTCAACATTTCTCAACCAAAAAAATGGTGGTAACTCCCGTTCAGACAAACCCTAGCGAGTCCCTGAACAAAAGGTTTACGCATTGAAAGTGGTGCGGTAAAGCCACTGCCATATGCCCATGAAATGCCCCAACAGGAGTTCATGGGTTTCACCACATTGCCCCCGCAATCTGAAAGTGAAGTTGGGATGCCACCATAGTTTGGCTAGTTGAGACTCGGAAGCTTGAAAATGTTGGAGAATTTTAAGTTGGATGACTTTCTTTCAGGCCAATTGTTTTTTAGACCCCCCAAAAAAATCTTCTGTCTCGCAATGGGCATCCCATGGTTTTCACCCATTCTTGGGCTGAAACTGTGACAGAAATTAGCTAGACTGCTTTCCGTCAATACCATATTAAATCATCCTATAGTTAGTAAAGTATGAATCACCATGTTTATCATGTTTGCTTGGGATGTTACCATTATTTGTCGGTCAATTCTGATCCTTCATTACTTCAGATCCCCACTGCAACACTGGCAACGCTGTTGGCGTTGATGGTTGCTGGGTCACCTTCCGATCCGCCATGTTTATCAAACAGGTCAAACTCCAATATCCAGTTGGTGTTTTTTTCAGTGTCTATCCCAAGCATTCCAGGTTTGACTGTTTGAAACTCCAGATTGTTCAAAAAATGTTGCTTGTAGATGATTATAGATGATTATAGATGACTATAGATGACTATAGATAATAGAAGATTATAGGTGATCATAGATGCTTGATCAGTTTCCTCATGTTTTTAAAATCCATTCATTCCCATCGTCCCATCCTTCCCCGCCCAGGAGGACATGGTAGAGGATCGTCAGGACCACTGGCCCTTGCAGGTCTACATGCTTGCGAGAAAGCCGTGGTGAAAAGATGGGGAGTTTGAATTTGCCAGGTGTCCCGCAGATGAATGAACTCTTCAAAATCCAACAGCCACGTACTGAGTAAACATCCACGTTTAAATTACTATCATTTTTGGGGGGAGATCTATGGCATCTATGTCACGTCCAGATTAATTCTTGCATACTCTTGGAACGTGCCACCAAAAGGTAAAGAAAAGTGGATTCTTTCCAAAAGACATCAACATGTCCATCATATTATTAGTTTCTCCAAACTCCAAATCCATGCTTTATCAACATGTCCTGTTTTAGGAATATAGCAGCCACCACACGTTAGCCCCCCAAAAATAGCAGATTGACGAGGCCAATAACAGCTGGTTCCAAGGCCCTGCCATGCAGCCCTGAAACTGCTACGGCGAGAAACGTTGAATGGTGGGGAAACTCGAAACGCGAAACACGAACGCAGTTTGCCAGGTGGATGTTGGGTGAACATATAAAAAGTAACATACAAGGTGGTGCCCCCGTTCGATAGTGTTCAGTTGGTTTATAACTCCAATAACTATGGTTTATAGATGATGTATCTACAGTGAATGGGATTATAAACCAACTTATACACAATATACTGCTGGATTTACCGCTTGGTGTTTTCAAGGATTGGTCATCTTCCATCGATGATGATCCCATTTGACTCCTAAATCTTTTGATATCGGATCTTTGTATAAGTGGGTTGAAGCCGCGATCCAGATCACACTGCTTTTCTGTGATTATGAAGGCATCCAATTAGCAGGGTGCATGACCTTCAGCAGTCCCCATGCTTCACGATCATATTAATCCCGCATGTTTGATGATCAAATCCCAATTAGTTCTAAACGACTTCTTTGTTTTGTCTGTCAGATATTTAGACGCCTTGGGATGGTGCAGCCTGCCCCATCCCATCGCCTTGTCCAGCCTTGGCTCCACCGAGGTTTAATGGTGTTAGACACCACCAAGGAATGGAAGGCCGGGGTCGTTGAGTGATTTGGCCACCCAGATTCCGACCCAGATTCCTTGACATGTCGGGTATTTTTGGCGATTTCATGGCACATGTTCAACCTGGGATATGTCAGGATTTCCTTGAAGAGTTTGGGAAATGGTATGAAATGGTGGTAAAGATTATTAGCTTGGGTGAGAGGATTGGCTGATTCATATTCATCAGGAAATGGAAATGACCTCTGAGCCAAAACTGAAAATGTCAACACGGGATTTCACAACTATGCGGAGAAATCAAGCGATGGATATAGATGATATAGAGTTAGGATATTGCCCACAAAACCGTGAGCAAACCATCAAGTGTGCTGCTCCTGCGTTGTTTGTTAAATCAAATTATTTGATTTCCATCTCCCTAAATTGCAAACACCCCCAAGAAGTAATGTAGGATTTTAATATTTACACATAATATTTGGGACTATTTAAATTGAATTTTCGGGGTGAGATGAAACCAATCCACCACCTGAACTTCTGTGATGATGGAATTCCCCATCTGGAACCAAACGGGAGCGGCTCCCCATTGAAAATTATTTATTGGATAATTGGATTGCATACCCAATAAATCCAAGTATCCAGTTTTCATGATATTCAACATATATTGACCATATATTCACCATATACATATATGTATATAATTTCTGTGTGTATATATATATATATATATCAACATGAGCTTCGTCACCGTATCCGTCACCAGTCTTTTTTCGCTCCGTCGGCACGAGGCGTCTCAGATTCATTGGCACGAAAGTCGGTTGGCCCAAAGCTTGGCCTTCCTCGCCGCACAGGTCGGTTCCATGGATTTCGGTTGGATCTTCCGTGGGATGAAATGGAAAATCTCCTCGGAATCAAGCGGGCCTGTTCCAGCGGGCCCTACCATAGCTTTGTTTACTGGAGGGTAACCAAAACGAAAAGAATAGACAAGGAAAGGAGAGATTGGCTATAATTTGTCACCGCTTAAAATCTGCTGGTTGTAGTTGAGTCAGATCCATTGGGTTGCTAAGCGCAACCCTATCTGGGGATGATGAGCCCCTGATTGCCCCGTATTTCTGTATATCACTGTTTCAAAAAGCAAGAGCTTGTTTCTGTCCTACAGAAATGACTCTCTTTTTTTCAGGAAAGCTCCATGTTTTGAAGCAAAGATATCTGTAAGACTCATGGTTTCCGTTACTTAGAGAGGCATTGGAGTTGGTTTACTAGTTCATCATACCTAACTGACCAAATAACACATCATAGAACTTAGTCATCCACCATATCAATATTCATCCATATTCATCCATATTCAGCGTTTACTAGTTGACTAACTGCAGTCATCCATAATACGCTATTATTACTGAAGTGTTATATCCCTATGGTCAAACGCAAAATCCCATGTTACTGATGTTACTAATATAGGGATTTGCTACAGGGAATCATAGATTGTTGTTAGATTTATATACATTTTCAGAGGGGTTCATGGGATCTTCATTACTATGTTACTTACAAGCTGGTGCCCCCTAGATAGCTAAGTTGGTTTATAACTCCAATAACTATGGTTTTTGTTAGTGATATATCGAACCAGTTAATGGGATTATAAACCAACTTAAAACTTGGGGGGCACCACCTTGTAAGTATTTGTCCATTTCATATATGGGATAGTCCTCCTTCCCATGGACGAACTCATATTTTTCAGAGGGGTAGGTTCAAACCACTAACCAGATGATGCTTAACCATCACTAACCATATCATAACCATAAATTAATCACATATTAACAGTATATTAGCCACATTAAGCATATATTAACCATTATGAATCCCGATGGTCAAATTGACCATAGTGTCTCCGATGAAACCGGCGGCAGACGCACTTCTCCCAGCATGTCCTGGACTCGTTGTGGCAACAGTTTCGGACCAGGACATGGCAAAATGCCTGGAATAAGATGGAAACATGGGTGATTGATATTGAAAAATATGGAAAACATATGAAACATGATGGAAAGATGATGGACAAATATGGAAAATATGGAAACTATGGCAAAAAAAGGAAAACATATCGAAAACATATGAAACAGGGCTGTTGATTGGTAAAGCGTTTCTGAGACTCACAGGTTGTGGTTTGTTTGGAATTGTTGGAAAAAAACATGTATAAGCATGACCCATTCTAGCTATTCTAGCCATTGTAGCAGTGGTTTGGAGGGTTTGTGGGTATGCCATGATTGTATCCATATTCCCTACGAAAAAAGAGCGCCACAAAGAGAGATTCCCGACTTCCCGACGTTTAGAGGTCAAAGTCAGGGATGAGTTTGGACGTATCATGATAGCACTGCACATAAGATGGTGGTCAAAACCCCTGAGGATATGAAACAAGAATCATATGGCAAGAATCTGGTGGCTTGTGAGTAAATGAAGAATTCTGAGAGGACCTCGAAACAAAGGGATGATGTAGGTTATTTAACATGTTATAACGATGAAATTCATGCGGATATTGCGGATGTGATTCAAACATGCTACTGCAGTAGTGTGCAACAGATGGATTCTTCGGAGTGCCCTGTGGATCCTGTGGCTGGACACTCCGCCTGAAAGAAATTATAGGACCGGATAACCCCACATGTTACCAACGTCTTTAGACTTAGACTGAGCATAGAAAAGCCAGAAGGGAAAAGGAAGTATAAGAGTGATGGAGTGGTGATGGTGGGTGAGTTTGTGTGTGTGTATGTATGTGCATGCACAGATGAGTGAGTGAGTGAGTGAGTGAGTGAGTAAGTGAGTGCCACAGGGCGTACATCCGACCCCGTACATCCTGCAATGCACATTTTCCCACGGCTGCCACGCAAAAGAGGCGGAGACCCAAGGGACGCCAGGGCGTACATCCGACCCCTTGGCAATGCACATTGTCCCACGCCTGCCAGGCAAAAGAGGCGGAGACCCAAGGGACGCCAGGGCGTACATCCGACCCCTCGGCAATGCACATTGTCCCACGCCTGCCAGGCAAAAGAGGCGGAGACCCAAGGGACGCCAGGGCGTACATCCGACCCCTTGGCAATGCACATTGTCCCACACCTCCCACGCAAAAGAGACGGAGACCCAAGGGACGCCAGGGCGTACATCCGACCCCTTGGCAATGCACACTGCCCCACGCCTGCCAGGCAAAAGAGGCGGAGACTCAAGGGACGCCAGGGCGTACATCCGACCCCTTGGCAATGCACATTGTCCCACGCCTGCCACGCAAAAGAGGCGGAGACCCAAGGGACGCCAGGGCGTACATCTGACCCCTTGGCAATGCACATTGACCCACGCCTGCCACGCAAAAGAGGAGAGTGAGTGAATCAGTTGATGTGAGATTGAGTGAGTGAGTGAGTGCGTGCGTGCGTGAGTGAGTGAGTGAGTGAGTGAGTGAGTGTGAGTGAGTGTGAGTGAGTGTGAGTGAGTGTGAGTGAGTGTGAGTGAGTGTGAGTGAGTGTGAGTGAGTGAGTGTGAGTGAGTGTGAGTGAGTGTGAGTGAGTGTGAGTGAGTGTGAGTGAGGGAGTGTGAGTGAGTGAGTGAGCGTGAGTGAGTGTGAGTGAGTGTGAGTGAGTGAGTGAGTGTGAGTGAGTGAGTGTGAGTGAGAGTGATTGAGTGAGTGTGAGTGAGTGAGTGTGAGTGAGTGAGTGTGAGTGAGTGTGAGTGAGTGAATGTGAGTGAGTGAGTGAGTGTGAGTGAGTGAGTGTGAGTGAGTGTGAGTGAGTGAGTGTGAGTGAGTGTGAGTGAGTGTGAGTGAGTGAGTGAGTGAGGGAGGGAGTGAGTGAGGGAGGTGAGTGAGTGATTGAGTGAGTGAGTGAGTGAGTGTGAGTGAGTGAGTGAGTGAGTGATTGAGTGAGTGAGTGAGTGAGTGAGTGAGTGAGGAAGACGGGCGAGGAGGAGGAGGAGGCGGAGGCGGATACAGAACTAAAAACAAAAACCCCACACGTCAATGTGGGGAAATATCCTTCCCTGGTGACAGAAAGGTTATACCGCGTGAGTATCCGTTAGTTATACCCCACTTCCCAGCTTTTG